CCAGGAGGCGAACCACAGCTATCAGGATGCTATGGATACATGCCATGGAAATATGTCGGCCAACAAAAGAAGAACGTTACGCCAACCATCATACTTCCCAGTACATTTTTCTGACACTAATTTTAGGCAAGAACAGACCTAGGAAATGAAAGTCAGCTTTTCTTTTCAGAATCAGCTAAAATTATAGAGCCACAAGCCGAAAGGCTATTGCACAGTTTTTGTAGCCTGTGATATAAAACACCGTGAGATAGGAAAAGGGCTTAACAGCAAATAAAACTTGGAACATAACATTAAATCATACAAGATAATGCTAGTCTCATGCCGTTTCAACCAGTTTAGGTGCAAACTTGCTTATTCAGGTGCTCAGAGTACAAAAAGCAAAGGAAAAATATAGAAATAAATAGTAAATCAGAGGGTAAAAAGACACACACTACATCCTATCACAACAGGTAAAACAAAGCAATAGAACCAACAACAAAAATGCAAACATGTTAACTTTACAAGCTGGCAATTTTATCACCCCTTTCTGACAGTGATCCCAAATTAGACCAGTACTTGTTATAGTCTGTATACAGTCTTGTCAAAATACTTTTGAAGACAATTAGCAAGAAAACATCGCGGATAACTTTAAATACTCTTAAAGTCCACTCATTTAAGAAGTACACTCAAAAAAAATAAAACTTAACAATCTTTATTCCTACAATTCTCCTCTTTCATGTGTGCTCTTAACCCTTTTACCCTGAGAAAAAATTTTTTTTAAATTCATAAATATGTTTTAATCCCTGGAAACAAAATCCTTAAAAACAATTTGTTTCAATTTATTTATCCACATGAAGAATGTTCGGCATGCATATTGTTTTTTCGGCCCTGTGGAATGTTTCCATTTAATTCTCCACTCTGTTCATGTTTGTTGATTAACCTTTTTTACAGTTCTTTATATAGCTTGAAAAAAAAAATGTTAAATGGAGATAAATTAATTTTGAAGAAAAAATTTATTAGTGTGATTCTTGTAAAATAGTTTTTACACTGGGAATTAACACTCACGGGGGAAAAAGGGTTAAAGTAACAACTGTTGGGGACTGAAAACCTTGTTTTTCTTTTGTGTGTTCAAGGAAACAACAATATCTTTTTATCCTTTAACCCTTTAGAGACAACTAGTGAAAAGGACAATTGTGCTGATAATACAAGCTATGAGATTGGCTGGCTGGTCTGATAATACAAGCCATGAGAAGCCATGAGATTGGCTGGCTAGTCCGATAATACAAGCCATGAGATTGGCTGGCTGGTCTGATAATACAAGTCATGAGATTGGCTGGCTGGTCTGATAATACAAACCATGAGATTGGCTGGCTGGTCCAATAATACAAGCCATGAGATTGGCTGGCTGGTCCATTAATACAAGCCATGAGATTCCCTGGCTAGTCTGATAATACAAATCTTAAGATTGGCTGGCTAGTCTTATACCACAAATTTGAGACTGGCTTGCTGGTTTTTGTACCAAAAGAGGCCGCTCTTGGATGGCAAAGGCTTGAAGATTAAATCTAGCAGGTATGTAACAGTCACGGAAAAGAATGGACGAATACACCAGTAGACATGCATGGCATCTCTAAGGTTGTCATCACACTCGGAAGGTACTGCAGAGATCAAATTCCTGCGGCTGTAGACACAGAAGTAAGGGAACTGATAGATCAGCATTCAGAACCAGAAGATATCATCATCTACACAGATGGATCCGTGAAGCGCAGATCAAGGTCAGCATGGGCATACACAGCGCAAAGAAGAGGGAAAACAATACATGAGGACAGCGGCGCTTACCAGACAACCACGTCAAGCATGATGATGGAAATAGCTGCTGCTTCTAGAGCTTTAGCATGGGTATCCGAGCAAACCGCCACACAAACAGTAATTGTCTCAGACTCAATGAATATGCTTAGGAGATGACAACAGGTTGTATGCACTCTGAATGGGTAGAAAGCATTCGAAAATGGAACTTGACCTCCGAAACCTGGATCTACACACCGGGTCATGCGGGCGTAAAGAGAAATAAGCGAGTGGACAAACTGGCAAGCACTGCACTAAGGATTGGAGGACAAAGCATGGACAAAGCAGATATCATCAACACTGTAAGAACTGGGCTAGTGGATAATAAGGAATCCCTGACACTAACACAATTGCATGACATGGGAGTAAAGCATGGTGAAGCACGTCTATGACGTCTTTGAGGCCGAGCTAGGAGACAATATAAATAGCTTCTCATGGGAACAATTAGTAGAAGTACTTTGGAGTGGCTGCTGCATCGGAGGACTGAGCATGCATGGGAATGCCCAATGTGCAGTGACATCAATTGTGATAACATAACATAACATATCCACATCACAGACTGGTATATAAAACTTAATAACCTCAACCCAAAGAAATAGTGGAAATCAAAACATATCTTAACATAGCAAAAACAAAGATAATGCTTACAGATAAAACTATGGAGACATAAATATATGTTAATGAGGAAAGATTGAAGTTTAGCAAATTTTGAATATCTTGGGTCATTGATTACCAAAAATGGTGACACAATGAAAGAAATTAAACGACGACTATCACTTGCTCTTCAAAGACTAAAACAACTGAATAAATTATGGAATGGGACAGACAGAACTACAAAACTTAGATTTCTAAGAGCATGCATCTTTCCCATTGCAACATACGCCTGTGAGACCTGGACACTAAACAAGCTGAACAGCGAAAAAATACATTTGAATACAAATGCTAAAGACAGGTTCTAAGAATATCATTGGCCTTCATTAACAAATGCATCCATACTTCAAGAACTGAAGAAGGTTGGCAACTAAAGATGATAAAACACACAAAAATTGAAATATTTTGGTCACTTGAAACGTCATGAAAGTTTAGAGAGAACAATAATGGAGGGGTATATGCCTGAGAAGAGAGGAAGAGAAAGGCCAAAGAGAAGACTGGGTGCAGGATGTGGCGGATGATCTCCAGATGGGTGTATCAGACATTTTGCTTGTGATCGAGAAGTTTTCTGGAGGGTTGTCTGCTGCAAAAGACATGCTACTGATTGATTGACTGATTTATTAATTCATCATTAAAAACCACTTTTGCCATTAACTCTTTGAGTACCAAGGAATGCATTATATGTTCATAGGTTCCTACCTAGCGGCACAATGAACGCATGACTTCACTTGGGCCTCTGATGCTAAACACCCTGGGACTCAAAGAGTTAAGCCTCATGGCAGGAATAATTTGCGATCCAGTACACGCTGATATACATATATATATCTATATGTGTGTGTGTGTGTGTTCATTAAATAACTTTATTTTGTACAATTTTGTCTGTGCAAATTAACTGAAACCCCACTGCAGGGCCCTGTCTTCTTGGCACTGAAACTCCAGACTCCAAAGGTTGAGAGCTCAACTTCCTAAAAAAATAATCTTTGTTTAACCCCCAGTAGTCATTTTAAAAAAAAAATACTAAATGCATCATTGTTTAATGAAACTGAGGAACAATGACCTCTAAAAAAATTCAAAAGACAACAACACTACAAAAATTACAACCATGTCATTATTTTACAAAACAATCTACTACATATATCAAAAATAACATGTTTAAATGTCTCTACCAAAGACATATTACTGATATGTTAATTATTTAGTCAACATATTTAAGAAATAACATGTTATCTTGACAATTATTATTTTAAGCATTCTTATGAGAAGTATCATCCATATAACATACTTCTTCTTCAGCATTCCGAGCCCTTGAGGACATTGCTGCAGATATCACCCACCTCCACTCATCTCTCTGGTTGGCCTTCTCTTTCCAGTTGAATATAACATACTTACTTTACTTTTACTTTTTCCTTCCACGTATGCCGCTAAGCGTTGTGGGGAGATGCAAGTTCCTGTCATAAGCAAGGCGGGCAGCATCTGATGTTCTGAGGCCATGCTTTTGGCAGGTTTCGGAGACCCCGTCAATCCACAGTTTCCTTGTCTTCCTCTTGCTTATATCCTGAGCTTCTTTGGTGAAAAATTTGTGATGTTATTTGGTCATTTTTCATCCTGGTTAGATGTCCAAACCATTTCATTCTTTGATGTTCTATGTAGTCTAAACATGGTGTAGTTTTGACAGTGTTTCTAATGTCTATGTTCTTTATCCTGTCTAGTCTGGTCTTATTCGCTGCTTTTCTTAGACATTTCATTTCACAGGCTTCTATTTTTCTTTCATGGGTCTTGTTGATTGTCCATGTCTGGCACTGGTAGCAGAGTGTTGGAATGAAGATGGTGTTTATCAATTGTCTTTTGGTCTTCATGGTTATATCTGGTTGTTTAAGCAGAGGTGATAGTTGGTATGTGACAGCATTTGCTTTCTGTATTTTTCTATATTTATGTACTATATAACATTAATGCATTTTGAAATAGTTTTGTCATTGTTAAAACCGTTTTTAAAGTTACGTTTTCTTTGTAAACTGCCTCAATGAACTTTCCCACTACTGTGTCAAGTAAAAAAATTTTTTTTACCCAATTTCGTCCTTTTTAGGACGTAATTTTTATCATTTGAAGCCCTACTCTGGCTTTTGCCAGGGGCCGCAATTTAGGCAGGCCATACATATGGCCAAATGTTTGAAGGCGGTTTCTGGGACCTCTCCAAAGCGATCCTCATCCACATGGCGGCACTTTGTGTCATCGGGTGTTTATCACTTTTGTGATGTCCTGGTGGGGTAGAAAGTCAATCAATCAATAAAGTTAACAATTTATACTTCAAAAACCATTTGATAAATAATCCTTACGATTTTCCTAACAAAAAATATTCAATTAAAATGCCACCCCACCCCCCCCCCCCCCCCCCCTCCCCCCCCCGAGGTCCCCCCCCCCCCCCCAAAAAAAAAAAAAAAAAAAAAACTTTTTAAATAAACAGTGCATTTCCAATATCAGATAATGTTTTTCACTTTTTAAAAAAAAAAAACTTAAGCCAAACTGGCACATCACAGTTTGGTCAGAAGTCCAGAGTCTGGAGCTATTGTTTTGATCAGTCCTTGAATGTCCTTGAACTTTGGATGATCTTTATCTCCTACCAGTTGAAGAAGAATGGCTTCTGAGGTCGTCACTGTAGCTCCCATATGTCTGAATCTCTGAAAAGAGACAACATTTTCACTATTTGAAAAACTGATATGAAGGTATGCACAGATGAAGAAGAAGAAGTAGAAGCAGAAGATGATGAAGAAGAAGAAGCAGCAGAAGAAGAAGATGATGATGAAGAAAAAGAAGAAGAACAAGAACAAGAAACGGCTACATAAGGCTTGTATATGTAGTCCATGTGGGGCATGAGTGGTACAGTAGCATGAAGAAAAAGAAAAGAAGAAGGAAGAGAAGGAGGAGAGGGAAGAAGAAGAAATACAGATCACTGTCAAAAACTGGCAAATTTTTCTACTGAGATTTCAAAACTAAAAAACAATCCTAGTGTACGAAATACCAGTTATGTAGTAGCCACGGTGGCACAGTGGCCAGCATGACTGCCTGCCAATGCAGCAGCCACAATTTGAATGTGAACATTTTTTTTAAAGATCGATTTGGACTCACAAGTCAGCTCAGCCTAAAACGGACACCAATCAAAAGGTCCTGGGAAGAAAGGGTGGCTTTTAACCACATAACCCACTGAGTGCTGATTGGTTGATACAAATCTGGGTCAGGCACGATCTGCCTGATGCTCTCAAGATGTGAAATGGTGGGGGGGGGGGGGGTCTTTTACTTTTTTTAACTGATGTGCCAGTCACTGTTTTTTCTTGTTGGTAGCAAACAAACAACAAATCCTAACCTGCACAGTTTGTGGCAACAGCACAAGCCATGTGGCCGTAAACCCTCAGGTTTGAAGACCTCTCTGCCTACACCAGGCAAGTGGTGAATACAGGCGGCAATGGCAGAGAGAGAGAGAGAGAGAGAGGGAGTTAGACAGGGAGGGAGGGGGAGGGGGGAATTTGTGTGTGTGTGTGTGTGCGCGCACCAGTCATATGCTATGACAGAGAGGATCAAACCCTGATAGAGGATGACCAGCAGCCTTTGTTGACCACAGATGACATCTTCTCTTTTTACAGCCAAACCATTTCTGACTTTGTTGATCACAGTATCATCTTGGAATATGCAGCTAAGGCTTTGATCAAAACTCACTCCCAGGTATTTTAAAAGTTAAGTCCTTTCTATCTCTTCACAGTTCATATGCACAGAGAACATTGTTGTGTGTACTATACCCTTGTTCAAAAAGAACCAAGTTGCAGTCACTTGTGCAGGGTTAACTTGGGCTTCAGAGGTTTGACATCAACCTGCTATGCATCCCAGTTCCATCTTAAGTTCTACAATTCTGCCCCTGTTGTTGCCTTGGTGGTAAACTATTTTGTCATCAGCATAGGACAATGTTATTCCTTCACCTATGATTTGATATTTTGTCAACTCAATAGTGAAAATATTGAAAAGGACTGGGGATAAAGGTGATCCTTGGGGAAATCCTGGGTGTATAGTTTTCAACTCTGAGATACATCTTCCATAACCTGCCCTCTTTGAATTTGAAAAGGATGGGGATTTTGTCCTTGGGGCAATCTCAATAGTTTTTCAACTCTGAAACATTATATTTGAAAAGGACTGCCTCTTTGAAAATATTGAAAAGGACTGGGGATAAAGGTGATCCTTGGGGCAATCCTGGGTGTATAGTTTTCAAATCCGAGATACATCTTCCATATTTGAAAACAACCTGCCTCTTGAAGAGTGCTGGTGCTATTTAATGAGTGTGGGGGAAAATATTGATATTTAGGAGCTCATGTATGAGCTTTTAAAAGGGCAACTTGTTGTATGCATCTTCCAAGTTTAGCATCACAGAATAAGAGGAAGAAGAAACTCTTTTCAGTACAAGAAGAGAGGAGAAGATCAAGGAAAAAAACAAGGAGGAGGCGAGGGGGAAAAAGAAAAGAAGAAGGACTTTTTCTACACAAAACAACCACAATACCAGTGAAGGAAATGTAAAAACATGGTTACCTCTAGAGCTATCATCCTGTCCACATGGTTCGTGAGGAAACAGCATCTGCCAGCACATGGACCTCAATGTCTCTGTTCAGGAGATCAATGACTGTCTGCTGGATGCAGACGTGAGCCTGGAATATCAAAGGTCACATGATCTCAGATTTGTTACTCTCTGACTTTAAAATTTACTCACAGTGAAGTTTTTAAGAAGAATGGAAAGAATACCATAGAACAGGGTTTATTTAACTGGTGGTTTATTTACTGAATTTTGCCTGCAGTGACCTTGCTAGTGGCCCGCGAATCATTGCCAGTTGTACAATATGAATGAATCTTTCTACCCTGGGGCTTGAGCTTCTGGTCTGCGACAATACCCATTTTCAACATTTTGGTCCCCCGAATAAAAGAAAAGCAAATAGGGCAGTGCTTCTTTGCTTCTTCTTAAAGTCCATGCCATGTGGCCTTGGTAGTCACGTCTATTTATAACCTTCTGTCCTGTGTACTTTTAATCAACTCTGACACAGACAATCCTCCATACCATGATGTCATACTGTCCAGCATCTTTTCTCTCGGTCTTCTTCTGCCTCTCCTCTCCTCCAACTTCCCTACTGACACGATGTACTCCAGTTTTTTTCTTCTCATTACATGACCACAAATGTATATTCTCTTTTTTTGATGTGAACAATCAGTTCTGTTCGTGAGTCAGTTTCTTTTAAAACATCTTCATTATTCTTTTTTATCTGTCCAGGGTATCCCCATCATTCGTCTATAAAACCACATCTCCACAGCTTCCACATAAGTCTTCACTAATTTACCAACTGTCCATGATTTATTTCCGTATATCAAGACAGTACTTCTCAAGACAATATTTCCCAAGACAGTGTTTCTCAAGTTAGAAGGGAACCATACACTAATTAAAGACATTAGTTGTAGATCAGTGGTTTTCAATATGTGGGTGGTGACCCCTTTGGGGGGTCCAACGACCCTTTAACAGGGGTCGCCTAAGACTATCAGAAAAAAATTATTTCCCTGTAGTTATGAAGTAGCAACAAAAATAATGTTATGCTTGCCCCCCCCCCCCCCCCCCCCCCAACAACATGAGGAACTGTATTAAAGGGCTACAGTATTACGACGGCTGAGAACCGCTGTGTAGACAGTCAAGTGTTTTCATTGGGGACATGTTATAATGAGGACTGCACTCAAGAACTAGGTTACAACTGGCAAGGCTGGTGGCAAGAAGAGCAAGGGGAAGGCAAAGAAATAAATATCTGGATAGGTTAGCCGAAAGGATGGGAGTGAGACTACAACTGTGACCTGATCCATGATTCTGGTAGTCATGTGAGATGGCCAAACTTGACAGCTTATGCTTACAGGTACAGCACATGATGATGATGCTAAAATACTATGCTAGCCCCTTACTGATACTGTTGTTCTGGTGTGAAGTGTCACGATTTCGTATATTCTAGGTTATAACATGAAGTGGGGCGGCCTGTTCCCTTCCTCACAATTTTTCCTCCCTGGACAAATCCACTATTCTGAAAGTTGTCTGTGCCAGTTTTTTGACACTTCTTCTTCACGTTTACCAGCTGTAAACTCCGTCCGAAAGTTCTGGCTGAATTTTGGGTGCACATCTGTTTCACAGATCAGGTTTATTTGTAGGTAGACTGTTGGTTCTTCACCTCAGGCAGATGCATTTTGACTTCAAAAGAAACACCCCTAATAACTCTACTCTTATGACATGCTTGTTAAGGAACAGTGGGTCCACCCCCCCCCCCCCCCCACCCACAATGGGGTCCTGAAACCACATGGGAGTTTTACGATATGAGGCTGACCCAATATCTGTGCTGGTTGGTACAAAATATTCCTACCCTGATGGAGATCTAGAAACCGAACCAAGAATCTTGGGATGTAAGCATATTAACTTGTAATGTAAGCTTGCTGACTTGGGATGTAAGCATATTAACTTGCAATGTAAGCTTGCTGACTTGGGATGTAAGCATATTAACTTGTAATGTAAGCTTGCTGACTTGGGATGTAAGCATATTAACTTGCAATGTAAGCTTACTGACTTGGGATGTAAGCATATTAACTTGTAATGTAAGCTAACTGACTTGGGATGTAAGCATATTAACTTGTATTGTAAGCTTGCTGACTTGGGATGTAAGCATATTAACTTGTAATGTAAGCTTACTGACTTGGGATGTAAGCATATAAACTTGTAATGTAAGCTTGCTGACTTGGGATGTAAGCATATTAACTTGTAATGTAAGCTTACTGACTTGGGATGTAAGCATATAAACTTGTAATGTAAGCTTACTGACTTGGGATGTAAGCATATTCACTTGTAATGTAAGCTTACTGACTTGGGATGTAAGCATATTAACTTGTAATGTAAGCTTACTGACTTGGGATGTAAGCATATTAACTTGTAATGTAAGCTCACTGACTTGGGATGTAAGCATATTAACTTGTAATGTAAGCTTACTGACTTGGGATGTAAGCATAATAACTTGGGATATTTGCCAACTAACTTGGGATGAAAGTATTTTAACTTGGAATATAAGTATTGAACTGATCTGCGAAACTGGTAATTGTCTGAAATGGCAAAACATGACAAACATACCAGCATGGCACATGATGATGATGCTAATAATATACAGAGCCAGTTTCTACTCAACATAAAGTAACAAAATATAAATATATAATCGTCATCATCATGTGCCCTGCCAACCGGAGTAGGTGCTCATGCATCTCCACAGATCACAATCCCTGGTTGCCTGGAACAGCTCTCTTGATGATATCCCTCCATGCCATCGTTTCAGCCCATCCAGCATCATCTCTCTTGGTCTGCCTCTACCCCTTTTTCCACTTATCTTTCCAGTTGTCACGATGTTCTCCAATGTCTCTCATCCGATTATGTGACCAAAGAACAGTGTTTGTCTCTTTCTTATTGTTGTAGATAGAGATCTACTTTCATTAGCTTCTTTCAAGCAATCGTTGCTATTTACTCTGGCCGTCCAAGGTATTGGTAACATTCTTCTCAGAAACCACATCTCTGTTGCTTCCAAATTCTTTCTAATTTGTTCTCTGATATTCCAAGATTTGCTGCCATACAGCAGAACAGGTTCTATGTAACATTTTAGCACCCTCTTTATATATATATATATATATATATATATATATATATATATATATATATATATATATATATATATATATATATATATATCCTATATATAATATAATATATATATATATATATATATATATATGTATGTGAGTGTGTGTGTGTGTTTTTTTTAATCTACAGAACAAGGAACAAACAACAGCTCCTACCTCTACTCCACATAAAATAACATGATATAAATTTTGTTTGTTTAAATCTACAGAGATGGGAACAAATAACAGCTCGTACCTCTACTCCACATAAAATAACATGATATACATTTTGTTTGTTTAGATCTACAAAACTAGGAACAAATAACAGCTCTTACCTCTACTCCACATAAAATGACATGATGTACATTTCCACCACAAAGAGCCCTCATCTTCTCATCCACCTCGGGGATCAGCATGCTGAACTTTGTCTTGGGGAAAATCCCGACCGCGTTGGATATATTCACCTCAGGTACGGTGCTTCCTAGGCCTTTGGGGTACTTTAAGCGGAAACACACAGGAGGTGATATCAGAATTGTTAACAACCACTATATATCAGAATTGTAACAACCACTATAATTATTAACTTTCAGTCCCATGACACATGTCATGTGTCACAGGTTCCTACCTATAAGCTCAATGAATGCAAGATGCGCAGATTCTCTTTACAATTGCTTGGGCCTCTGAGGCTTAACCCCTTGGGACTGAAAGGATTAAATTATAACTACTATCAACTTAATTATTATTTATAACCCCTATTATTATCACTGGTTAGGTTTAGGTTAGTTTCCCCAAACAAAGTAGGTCAAGTTTAATTCACAAGTATGTTGAGCTGGTCTACTTTCCTGCAGGTTACCGGGGTGCCGCTCTATTGTTTGCTTTTTGGGTTGTCTTGCATTTATGTTTTTATTCCGAAAAAGAGAATGCCTGTGACATAGGTTGCAGCACTCTATAGTGGGGTTTTGTCAGACCCAGTTTGTCCATGTTTTTGGAATGTTCGAAGCCCTGGCGTGCTGAAATATACAACATGCGATATCAACGGCATTGCGGAACACCCCCATAACCTTGTGCCAAGGTGACAGGTTTAGAAACTACCAATCAGAAGTGAGCTAGTGTGTATATGGGCGGTCTGTGGGGAGACTATCGTTAGTTTTACCACTGATCACTTATAACAACTATTAGTATTTTATAACCACACATATGAATCTATAAAGTACTCCCCTTAATGAATACATGACCCATTGCAAAAAAAAATTATTATAAAACAAAACAATCAAGGGAGAGAACACTGTTGAGAACCACAGGGAATATTTAAGCAATATATAACGAGAATGAATAACCATTTTCCATGCCTTCAGGTGTTTTGGGCATATAGGGCTATTCCTATACTGTATAGTTCAATTGGCACCCGGTGAGTGAAATCGTCAGCATCACGCCAGCCACCTTTACTTTCCAGGACTCTACCCGGTACCCACTCAAGGCTGAGTTGACCTGGGAACCTAGATCACTTTTTATAATAGTCCAGCTCCGCCAGGACTCGAACCCACAACCTTCTGATCAGCAGGAGAGCGTCTAGAATAAGGATAAAGGTGTTAATATATCCTAAGACAGATTAATGCTCCCCAGATCAATTTAAATATTTAAAAATATATATATCACACAATATGATGATTGTTACAACTGTTTAAAAAGTGCAGTTGAAATATGTTAAATTTAACATCAATACTGTTATAAATAATTCATAAACTATGGAAAATGAAATAAATATCCAAAGGTAACTGACAAGCATAAACTGGATGTTCACACAGACCTCAAGTTCTAGGAACAAAGACTTAAGACCAGAAGTAGAGTGGAGAAACAACCAGAACTTTCTGTCAAAGTTTGCAGCCGGTGAAAGCAAAAGAAGAAGAAGAAGAAGAAGAAGAAGAAGCTTGCCTACTAATTTTCCAGGATTCACAACACGGGTAATAAAAGACAGAAATGAATGGTCTGCAATTTTTGCAGAACTGAAGGTAACATTAACAACAATAACAATACCTGTTCAGTAACTATCAGTGGAATGCCCAAAATGCGTGATGCCTCCGTCTGTGGAGTAATATCAGTAAAAACATAAGGACATTCATTAGGCACATTTCTAACAAACTACGAGAAATTATTTAAATATATATAATATATAAATATATGGGGTAAAACCTGGTGCAATGAAGTTGATTACTCTCAGCTTTAACTTTTTTTTTTTAAAGTCTATTATATACTTTTAAAAAGAAAAAATGCATTAATTAGTTATCTAATTGCACGTCTTTATTAGTTCACAGGAAAGCCTGTACACCTAAAAATTATAAATGACCCAGAAGACAAAAAAGTGTCAACTGATTGGTAAAACTGTAAGGTATTCTTCTGTACAATTTGAATAATTTCACTTATTAAATTACAAAGATTTTGAGCGACAAAGGCAAAATTGTGTTCCTTTTAGTAGCTATGGGGTTTTTTTAAATTAAAAAAAAAAATTGTACACAAAAGATATTTATATTTGTGTACATGCACAGGCACACATACAAAGCAAGCATGCAACCATCGCTAAGGATAGGCATGAGCATATTCACAATACTGTTATACACATGGTTCAACGTCAGCTGCAGATGATCTGTTAGCAGATCGCTGTTCTAATTTTGACAACGATAGGAGCGCTGTACCATACAGAAAGCAGATCGCTGTTCTGATTTTGACAACGGTAGGAGCGCTGTACCATACAGAAAGCAGATCGCTGTTCTGATTTTGACAACGGTAGGAGCGCTGTACCATACAGAAAGCAGATCACTGTTCTGATTTTGACAACGGTAGGAGCAAAGCAATCACAAATTACTGAATGTAAAATTCCTTAAAAACCACAAAACAGCAATAAATAATGGACTTTATGTGCAAAGTGGAAACTGCCGTAGTGTAGCGGCTAGATGCTCATCTACAGATAGGAAGGTCATGGCTTTGGGTCCTGACAGAGCAGGGCTTCAAACCACAAAAAAATTACCTTTCCTTCCAGGTCGACCGGGTAATGTCATGGGAAGTAAAGGCAGTTAGTGTGGCGCTGACCACACCACCCTCCAAGCACCGATTTGTCTATAAAACACAGATCTAGCCCTATATGCCCAAATACCTTGCACTGATGCACTCTGAATGGGTAGAAACATTTGAAAATTGCACTTAACCTCCCTCACCTGGATCCGCACACCTGATCATGCTGGTGTAAAGGGTAATGAGCCAGCCAAACAAGTGGCAAGAAATCCACCAACACATGTGGAAGGAAGCATGGACACAGCAGATATCATCAATGCTGCACAGACTTTGCTAGTTGATAATGACAAATCTCTGACACTAACACAACTGCGTGACATGGAAGTAAAGAACGGTGAAGCACGTCTAAGCCACCTGGGAGCCCGAGATAGGAAACATTATAACCAACCTTTCATGGGAACAATTAGTTGAAATACCTTGGAGTGGCTGCTGAATAGTTGGAGTAAGCACGCAGAGGAATGTCTGATGTGTAATGCAATTATGACGATTATGATTAAAACATAACATTTTTTTAAAGGACCCTTTTCCACGTCTTTAGGACATATAGGGCTAGACCTATATTTTATAGACCAATCGGCGCAAGATGGGTGATGTGGTCAGCATCACGCCGGCCGCCTTTACCGCTCAGGACTGCACCCGGTACCCACTCAAGGCTGGGTCCACCTGGGAGCCAAGGTCCTTTTTGAAAAAGGTCCTGCTCCGCTAGGGAGCGAACCCACGACCTTCCGTCTAGCCGCTCAGCCACGGCGACTCCCTGATAACGTACATAACTTGCATTAATTATTTGCATAAAATTTTACAAAAATGATACACTTTATTTGCAAAGTCATGTAAAGAATATGCAAACAATAACAATCAAAATAAAGTAGACATTGTATGTGTCTGTGTTGTCTTTTAATAAATTATGTATAATTAATGTATATGTTTATTATTTTAATATAATAAAAATAATGATTTGTATTCTCAATAATTACCAGCCTGCCGGACACTTCTGCTATTTCGTTAAAAAATTTCACAGCAGGGCGAAACCTTTCCTGCATGTCGCAGACAAAGAGGACTGTTTGAGTTAGTCGAATGTTTCCCAATTTCTTAGACATGGTGGGCTGTGGTTGATTTGGTCTTGGGATTCAGCTGGCTGCAAAATCTTGATCCCTGTCAGAAATGTTTTTTGCCGGGTGCTTCACCTTTGAACTTTGACCCTTGGCGGGGACCACCAGATTTTTGATAAACTGTCGATCAAATTATTTTCTTAAAGCCGATGATGGTGTTTGATTGATTGACTTTCTACCCCACTAGGACGTCACACAAGCGATAAACACCCGATGACACAAAGTGCCACCATGTGGATGAGGATCGCCGTGGAGAGGTCCCAGAAACCGCGTTCAGATAATTGGCCATATTTATGGCCTGCCTATATTGCGGCCCCTGGCAAAAGCCAGGGTGGGGCTTCAAATAACAAAAATTTCGTCCTAAAAAGGACGAAATACCTATTGCTAGCAATGATGATGGTGGCGACGTATATTACAATTATAGCCTTCCCGTTGTGTGGGGGGGGGGGGGACAAGAATAGACTCGCTGCTTTCCCAACAAGCATGTCGTAAGAGTCGACTGATTGGGGGGTTTCCTTCAAAGTCGGAGTGCATCTGTCTGAGAGGCAAGGAAACAACAGTCTGCATATAAATAAGTTAGATCTGTAAAACGGATGTGCATGCGACACTCGAGTTCTAGAACTAGTTTAAAATCAGGAGTTGGATGAATAACCAGAACTTTCCGCCGGAGATTACAAGAAGAAGAAGAAGAAGAAGAACGAACGAACGAACGAACGAATAAACAAACTTTTTTTTTTTCAAAAAGAACAAGAAGAAGCCAGTAATTGCTAGGATGGGTTGAACAGGATATCGTTGTTATTTCTTTAACTTACTACCACCACTGGTTGTAGCTTTGGGCGTAAAAGACCTTTTGCAGCCTTACTTATTGGTAATGCACGTTATTTTTTTTTTGTGGGGGGGGGGGGGGGGGAATTCGTCTATGCTTCAGTGACAAACTTTCTAATAGCTTGTTGGTCTTTTCGTGCCCTGCTCTCCTCTTCCTCTTCAACCTTTCCATTTCCACGATGTACTCAAGTTTCCCTTTCTCACAATTTACAGCAGAGAAACAGATATACTAGAGTGAGGTGACAGAAAACATTCCTAATATTTGAGAGAGAGAGAGAGAGAGAGAGAGAGAGAGAGAGAGAGAGAGAGAGGAGGGAGAGAGAGAGAGAGAGTGTGAGAGAGAGAGAGAGAGAGAGAGAGAGAGAGAGAGAGAGAGAGAGAGAGAGAGAGAGAGAGAGAGAGAGAGAAAAGGGGGGGGGGTGAGAATAGAACACGAGGAAGAAAGGCCAGTTGAAATTAAACATAACAACAGAATCAGACGTAGCATCTGGACGCATGCATATACAAGCATCAAGAGACATGTTAACAGAAAATGAGGGTGGAGGTTTAGATCGATCGACCAGGTTGTCCCCTCCGGTCTGCTACCTAAAGATAATCAGGTAATCCTGAGATTTAAAAAAAAAAATCATAATCGGGATGTTAGGCCAACAAGGCAGATCCTAGATTTGTGGGTGGTGGCGAGGGATTATCCTTGATCTAAATATAAAACGATAGGGACGAAGAGGAAAGTAGCAGCAGCTGGAAAATGGTCAAATAATGTTAGAGAAGAAGATCGCATCGCAGCAGAAGTACTGGTGCCTGCATATAATAGAGGGAATTAAATGGTATGATAAAGTCACTAATGTAGAGTTTCGGAAGAGAACTAAACAAGTTCAACTGGACCAAAAGGTGAAGAAAAGACGCTGGCGTTGGATAGAAAACACGTTGAGAAAACCTTAGAACCCACAGGGGCATAGAAATAACCCCGAAAAAAGGCAAGAGAGCTAGAGATTGACGTTAAAAAGGCGGGGAGGACTGCATGCGACAGCCAAGGAAAGAACGACTTGGCATGAGTTGGTTGAAGGCCTTTGCTCCATTGGGGTTAAACTCCCAAATTAAATTTGATAATATGTTGGATACGATGCTTTCTGTAGATACAAACCAGTTAAAGATCGAAGGAAGATTAATTTCGGGGCCTGAAATCAACATATTTTCACGGATATTGATAGATTACATACATTAGGTTATCCCAGTTGTTTTACTTCTAACAAATGAGCGAAATAATTATTTAAAATGGCTGATAAATAACAGTTATGACAGTTTGAATATTTTGCCTATATAATTGACTAAATAAACGGTTACCATGCCATTGTGAAAAATTAATTAAAATTACTTTCAGGTTGAAGACATGCATTATTATGTGCAGAAATGAATATACTTTCATTTAGTGTTTAAAAAAAGTAAAATTCCACATTTTGAAAAAAAAAAATACTTTGGATGGTTTAACCTGTCCTTCATAGATCTATTTGTGTCAGGAACCTAAATTACTCTACTTTAACTTATTTTATATGGCTCGCTAGGTAGGCCAGCTGAACAGACTTAACTACCCTGACACACTTAAGACAATACTCCTGCTGAGTACAAACATAATCTTTAATGTACAATGAACAACACGACATTAAACACTTCAACTGAGCTAAGCAGTTCCCACCCGAAACCCCCTTGGCGATGACAGCTTTACATTCACTAATCAACCCAGGCCAGTTCCGATGGATCTATCAGGAACCCGACTCTTAGCTGACAGTTTCTCAGTGCTAATTAATCCGCCGTCTATTGCCAAACGGGACTCAGCGATACACGTAAGGTGTATGGCCTAAGCGTGACCGGGCAGTGTTACCGCCATTACAATGCGCGTCACATCTTGATTAACTGCTCTAACAATTACTGCATGGAATGTCTCCTACACACCGAACATTAACTCTATACTATCTAGTCGAAACATTCAATAGAAACACAGCCTATCATCGATACTAAATACAAATATCATATCACAACTAACCGTCACTAAACCTAACGTTACCTAGTCAAAATGTTTCCGTCTTGTCTCGTCCTGTCCCAGCACACGACTATCCCTCAACCAGCTCGGACCAAGCTTTTTGTATCTCCGGCCTGAGTTCACCCCTTGACACGCAGCAATCCGTGTCACCTGAGTGAACTAGGCCTGGCCCGTTAACTGGACCCAGTTTATTGCTTGGTCAAGCTGTCCGCTCTCATACTGAGTTGTACTGAAGGTCAACTCGTTCAAACGTGATGTTTCACTATCATCCTTCCCATAGCCGAACTGGCCTCTGACAATTTGCAACAAGATTTTCCAGGATACAATATGTGTTTTAGCCAGGGTGGAATTGGAAGACAAGGCCAAATAAAAACAATTCGGTAACGATACAGATTCGAACCCAGGACCCTTGGTTAGCAGGGGAGCATTTAGCCACTATACTGCCGGAGCACCTATCTAGTCTGGAGAAGGTCACCGATCCTTTTACCACCTCAAGGTTACAGAAGAACATACACACTCACGCACACTACATGGAATAGACATCAATGGAAGGGGGGGGGATCAACTGTAAGCAATTATGTGACTTATAAAGAGCATAACAAGATGGTAATTATACACACTGGCACACAAATATGTACTCTCACGCGCGTGCACACATACGCTTACGCGCAGTAACATACACCCAATACATCACACATGTGCGCGTGAGTGCGATGAATGCATATAAATAAAAACTTGGATTGCCACGAATGTTTGATACAAATCTCAGATTTCACGTTGGCGGTGTCTCCGAGAAACGAAACGAAGTTACCGTGAATCCTGAATACTTTCCTAAAGTCTAGTAAAGTAGTTGCAATTTACTCGATATCCTTTTCAACTCGTCAGCTTTATAACTAGAATATGTAGTTTTTTTCTTCTATTCTGTTTTAATATTGGATTTGTATGCGCGTCAGTCGTGTTTAGTTATTTAATATTGCACACGTAATTATTGCAGTCAAAGATTCCTGACCTAATCTACCACTGCCATCTACAGCAGACGTCAACACACAGCTCCAAGGAACTTTTTTCTTCTCAATTTCCATCCTACGTGTTTCAAGATGCACCTGAACTAGATGCTTTTCGGAACTTAAGATCTACAAAGGTGATTATATTTAGTCATGCCGTAATGATAAGATGTGTGTATATTTATTATGCGTATCATTCTTGTAATAAACACTGGATTTGAGTGAATGGTTCGCCAGTACTGAAATGGGAAATGAGTATTGTAATTGTCTGCAACGGTACAAGTTACAAGCTTGAGATGCCGAGTAGGCGGGTGTACGATGTTTTTCTAATGAGATCATAAGACTGTTTATAAGAATATGGCCAAAGAAAACAGGCGTTGTCGCTAGCTTGCCTTTTTATTTTAATTTTACAGATGCATACATCAGTTACATTATCGTGCCTTTAACTTAGTGGGCTGTAATATTGTAATAATAAATAGTAATATAAACGTTAACTTAACATGTTCCATTTTTTTTTAAATATAACTTCATAATTATGCCATGGATGCTGAAGGCTGATGTTAACTCCATGAGTCCCAAGCAACATATAATGCATGATTATTACTTCTGTTTATGCCACCCAATATGTAATATGTTCTAGTCTTTTTCAAAATGTTAACATGGCTTCAGGAGGGATTTAGACTTGAGGCCGCCCAGCTAATCTCAGATAACTTTAACATATTTTAAATATACTGATAATAGAAATAGTCTAATCTTTATTCAAAGAAATAATAAAGAATGTGTTTGCAAAATCACGTAAAGTATATATTATTTAGGCATAATCCTCTACAAGCTCTGAGGTCCAGTTTTTATTTTTTTAATTTCACATGCAAAAGTAATTGATTTTGAATTTTGTAAGGCCCCTGCAGATTATGAGGCCCTAAGCTGCAGACTGTTTAGCTTATAGTTAAATTCAGCAATGGATGGTTTGTTATAAATTATATCTTATACTTTAATCCAGGACTGGATGGTTTGTGATAAAATATATCTTATACTTTAATCCAGGACTGGATGGTTTGTTATAAAATATATCTTATACTTTAATCCAGGACTGGATGGTTTGTTATAAAATATATCTTATACTTTAATCCAGCAATGGATGGTTTGTAATAAAATATATCTTATACTTTAATCCAGGACTGGATGGTTTGTGATAAAATATATCTTATACTTTAATCCAGCAATGGATGGTTTGTGATAAAATATATCTTATACTTTAATCCAGGACTGGATGGTTTGTTATAAAATATATCTTATACTTTAATCCAGGACTGGATGGTTTGTGATAAAATATATCTTATACTTTAATCCAGCAATGGATGGTTTGCTATAAAATATATTTTGTACTTTAATCCTGCACTGGATGGTTTGCTATAAAATTTATCTTGCTCTGTAATCCAGCACTGGATGGTTTGCTATAAAATGAAATTGTGTACATAGTTATTGACTTTAGTTAACAGTGCTGCTTCCAGTTACTATTGCGTTTTTCTTGTCTATTGCATTGAAATCTCTAAGAGGTCTTCTCTGCTAGTATTAAATAATTTATAGTAATGTTCTCGTCTTGTAACGCATGTTCTCTGGAAGTAAACTCCATAGATGTATAATTATAATAAAATAATCAGTTATGAAACTGACATTAATGTTTTTGTCAAGACTCTTATTCAGGGTTAAGAAATAACCTTTACTAGTGTTATATAATTGTTACCTAGTATTATGCATATAAAATGGAATAAATACAAGAGGAATGAAGAAATAAGAAAAACATCTGGGCAACCACTAGTATCAAAAGTTATATATAATACTATCAAAAGTTATACTATCAAAAGATATAATACTATCTAAAGTTATACAATCAGAAGAGACAGAGAATCATCAAACAGGCACTGAAATTGGAAACAGAGGGATTAAGAAATAAGAACATCCAAGAGAAACCCTTAGGCGAACATTGAGGAGAGAAGCCAAAGTGGCTGGACTGGATTCCGTCCATAATATAAAAGTGATTGCACACCACAAAACAGAATGAAGAAATAGACTGCAAATCTTATGTAACATAGAATGGTACAACAGGTCAATAATGAGTTAATCAATTATGTGTAGAAATATACAAGTATAGAAAAAAATGTCTACGGTCATTTTTCACCTCAGATGGAAAAATGGATAGAGAAATCAACAAGCGATGTGCGAAAGCAAATCAGGCTATGGGACAGTTAACACCGCTTCTGATGCATAGAAATCTGTCAACCAAAGCAAATCTCATAAGAACGGTTTTCTTTGCCGAAATTGTGCTACCAGTGCCAAACATGGACCCTTACTACAACTAATGATTGTAACAACAGAGATGAAATGTCTTAGGAGAGCTGCCAGTGACAAGAAGAGATAAAATCAGGAATGAAGAAATTAGAAGACTAGAACTGAAACCAGTCCTACAATTTATTAAAGAACAACAAATGATGTGGTTTGACCACCTGACGAGAATGCCCTGGTACCAACTGAACACAGAGCAAGGGGGAGACCACGCAAGAGATGGAGTGACATCATCAGGAGCAACCTAACAGAATTGAACATCAACTTGTACAATGCAAGGAAAAAGTGCACAAACGATCCTTATATCTCCCTCCAACACCTCGCTGAGAAAAATGGTGGAAGAGAAGAAGAAGAAGATAGAACTATTTCAGTAAAACTAAATAGTACAATAATAATTATAATAACAATAATTAATCTACAAATTTAAGAAAACTGGCTCATAAACTGCAGTATGATGAAAGTTAAAACAAATTCCTAAGGAAAATGATGAGCATAAAATGGAATGGATTCACGAGGTGTGAAGAAATCAGAGAAATGTCTAGGCAACCACTAGTATCAACGGTTATATGACAGAGAAAATGGCGTTATAATGGACACATTCTGAGAAAAGATGAACAGAGAATCAACAATCACTGAAATGGGAAATATACGGATTAAGGAAATGAGGACGTCTTAGACAAACCCTGAGGTGAACGTTGATGAGAGAAGCCAGAGGTACTGCACTGGATTCTATCCATGAAATCGAAGAGATTGTACCGGATAGAGCTGAATGGAGGAATGTACTGCAAGTCCTGTGTAAGGGTAAATGTAAAGTCGGGAGATGTGAACCAGCGTCATTGCAAACAGTTATAAACCTTAAGTGCTCTGCCACCAGCACGGACAGCTGATAAGAAACTGTCCGTCTGTGTCGCCGCCTGATGTAACTCTGTAGCTACAGTGACGTTCCTCCATTTACCCCAGAGTGTCACTCTGGTACCAATTTCCTAGAGGCTGGGTAAACCCTGAGAACTGCCCGGTTTTGAACACTAACCATGGCTGCAGCGAGTCGCAGCTGGATTTGAAAGCGAGCCTCCTATCGCTGTGCTAATGCGGCTCCCTATGTGGCACAGCAAGACTGAAAATAATGAGTACTTGAATACATGATTCCTGGAAGAAGAGGCAGGTGTATATACTGGAGTAACCAGTACATGTTCAGCTGGCGAACAATTAGAATGCTGGGCTCTCAAGCGGTAGACCCGAGTTGGAATCCTCAGTAAGGTTTTGGATTTTTTTCTGTCGGAAAGCAAAATCAAAATTCAAACTTGCGCAGTCTGTGTCAACAGCAATGGCCTTACGACCCTAAATCCTTATGCTCAAAGACCGCCCGTCCTCTACCCCGCCTACACCGCAAAAATGGTAAACTGTAGCAATAATGGCAGTTTATTTAGGTCAGTAAATGTACAGTCTAATGCGTTGTGAGTCCGACTCGTAATCCAATGTACCGCGATCGAAACCCACTGCGGGCTGCGTGGATTTTTATCGTGGTATGGGACGTCGCAGGTCGACCCAGCCTCAAATGGGTACCAGGATAGGCTGTCCTGGGAAAGTAAAGACGGCCGGCGTAATGCTGACCACATTACCCACCGAGTGCCGATTGGTCTGTAAAAATATGGGTGCTCTTCCCATATGCCCGATGCGCCTAAGGGCGTGTAAAGGGATCTTCACTTTTTAAAAAAAAATGTACAGTAAGTTGCATGTCCCAGAATTCATGAAGTACTTTTTCTTCTTCACTTCCTGTTTTACCGCTTCTGGTGTCAAGGGAGATATAAGATTCTGCTAATTGCTTTTCTAGCTACCTCGACCAGAGACACATTATATTGTTGTAGAGTTTCTCTGATGTTATCTTTCCATCTTGTTCTTGGTATAAATTGTGCTCTTTTTTTCCTTCTACTTTTTTAGTGTTCACCTTATGTGGTATGACATCACAAGGCAATCTCTCTATGTGGGCAGAACATTTGATTTGCTATCTTTGTATGTACAGTGAAACTTTGATTAACCATTACTCTTTTGACCATTATTTTCTCTTACCTGTCATCGTCCTTACAAAAAAATGCCTATCAGCAAACATACAGACATCTTTAAAATTGTCCACAGATTAATTAGATTGTTTGTTTGTTTAGATGACAGATCAACATCATGGCACAAGGGGTAACCCATAAGTGCTCCCTTCTACTTCTGACTCAAGTGCAGTGCACGAACTCCGTAGCACCGGCAAGGATCCTGAAATACTTTGGGTAGATTTTTAACTCCAGATTTTGCCCGGGCAGTGCCGTTAGGCTTCTCTTTTTGATTTCCATCTGCCAAGAAAATATTTTACATGCGCAACAATTCACACGGGCGTCCAATCTTACTACCCAGAGACCAGAAGAAATTACTGGAAGTCCGCATGAACGGATAAGTAACTGTACTGTTTGATGAAACAGTGTTATCAAGGTGCATCGACTGGTTTGAAATGCAAGAAGAGGCAAATGCAACACAGATCCTACTTCTGCATAAGATACAGAACATCACCATACAGAAAGCTTGAGCCTCAAAATGCAGGAGGTGACAGATTTTTTTAACGAAACATAGTTTTATAGTATTATTATTATTATTCTGTACATTACTACTCTTATATTTAAGTGTAACTGATCATTTTGTTAAATTAAATTCACTGTGTATGTGTTGAAGGATTTATTTTCATTTTTGTCCCAAGCCTGCAGTGAAATCACGTTACTGTACTGTCTTGAGAGATTTCTGTTATCCATCTGTTCGGTTATCAACCGCAGCCTTGGTCTATCTATATCTTCTTCTTCTTCTTCAGCATTCTGATCCCTTGAGGTTCATTGCTGCAGATATCACCCGCCTCCATTCATCTCTCTGGTTAGCCTTCTCTTTCCAGTTGGTAACACCAAGTGTTTGCAGGTCTGTGGATATTATCTCTCCATATTCTTCTTGGTCTCCCCTGTGGTCTATGACCATTCATCTCCCTTGTGTATATAGTTTTTACTTCTTTGTCATCTGACATTCTTTCAAAATGCCACAACCATTTCAGTCTATTAGCTCTCATGATGCCAGTGATCAGTGGTGATTTAAACAGATTATGAATTTCATTGTTACTTCTCACTCTCCATTCACCGCTGTTTTGCAACTTTGATGGGTCCAAAGATTTGTCGTAAGACTGTTTTAGAAAACCTGTAATAAAGCTTCATCTCTTTTAGTTGTGCTGCAAGTTTCAGAGCCATATAACACGACTTTTCTTACAAACGTTTTATATATTTTGATCTTGGTGTTCTGAGACATATACTTTGACTTTAGCAGATGTTGAAGGGCATAGTATATTTTATTTCCAGATTGTATTCTAGATTGGTCCGGATGGTCATGGTTAATCAAAGTTTAACTATAGTTTAGAATTTACTTTGTCCTGACTTTTTTTCTTGTGACCTCATTCCTGATTTGATCTCATCTGGTCACTCCTGCAGGCCCTTCTCAGTTGTGAATTTGTGTTTTAAAGGTACTGGAGTTCACTAGAGCAGGTAAAACAGAATGGAACCTGTAACTGAGGCAGAAACTGGGAAACTTGTGTGGCGGGAACACTATGGGTCTACACCAAGAAAGCACAGTTATATCCTCAAACATGATGGGGCTCTGAAAAAGATCTCTGCAGGATACAGCTCTGTTTCACATTTTTTCAGGGTAATTTTTGTGCTTTGTTTTCCAGTTTTATATGTACTATATGTATTTGTTTTGTTTTCTGGTAATTGGTTAATTAGAGTTAGGAACCGACATCATAGCCCTCGGGTCATTCCCATAGCACTTTGTCCTTATTTTTAGCAGCACATGCAGAGATTTAGATTCAGTGATATAAGCGAGAGTCTGATTGTAGATCCAATGATATCAGCAAGAGTCTGATTGTAGATCCAATGATATCAGCAAGAGTCTGATTGTAGATCCAATGATATCAGCAAGAGTCTGATTGTAGATCCAATGATATCAGTGAGAGTCTGATTGTAAATCTAGTGATATCAGCCAGAGTCTGATTGTAGATCCAATGATATCAGCGAGAGTCTGATTGTAAATCCAATGATGTCAGCAAGAGTCTGATTATAGATCCAATGATATCAGCAAGAGTCTGATTGTAGATCCAATGATATCAGCAAGAGTCTGATTGTAGATCCAATGATATCAGCAAGAGTCTGATTGTAGATCCAATGAAATCAGCAAGAGTCTGATTGTAGATCCAGTGATATCAGCCAGAGTCTGATTGTAGATCCAGTGATATCAGCGAGAGTCTGATTGTGCGTGTGTCTTGCCCCTTCCCTGAGTGTTGAGCGTCAGCCATATTTAAGGGCCATTTGTTGCTACACCATCCTGTTCATACGGTGATGATCTCTGCACTGTTTGCTAGCTTCCAGAAGTTGGTTAATCAAAGCTGATCATTGGTTAGTTAAAGCTGACCATTAGTTGGTTGTAGTAAATAATTGATTAGTTGAAGTTGATCATTGGTTAATTGAAGTTGTTCATTGATTAATTGAAGCTGACCATTAGTTGGTTGGAATGAATAATTGATCAGTTGATCATAATTAATTGAAGTTGATCATTGATTGGTTGAATTTGACAATTAGTTGGTTGGAGTAAATCATTGATTAATTGAAATTGATCAGTGGTTAGTTGAAGCTGATAATTTATTGTCGATGATAATTGGTTTGTTGAAGATTATAGGGGGTTAATTGAAGCTCATTATTGAATAACTAAAGATGGTGATTAGTTATAGCTGATCCAATTTGCTAACAGAAGTTGATAACTGATTAGCTGAAGTTGGTCACTGGTTGTCTAAAGTTGATCACTAGATAGTTGAAGTTACCACTGGTTAGTCAAAGCTGATCACCAGTTTATTAAACCTGATCACTGGAGCAGATTAAATAAAAGCTTGTAATCTAGTTATTATGAACATTAGCACATACTATGTTCTCTGTTACTAGGCCAAGATTGATAGAGGATTGACTGTATCGCCCGAGGAGGCTTAGTCTAGTCACTTCTGATCATGACACAGCCCAACAAATGCTGATCTATCGCCATCTATGCAGTGACCTGTTCTTGAAAAGCATATTTAAATGCCATTGGTTTTGTTTGCGCCTGCGTAGTGTTTATGAGCCCGAATGTGAATACATTTACTAAATATAGCATCTAGAAGGGTTCCTTGTCAGTCCAGTAACTTTTTTAAAGCTAGGTTGACTTAAAATTTTCACATAAGCCCAGTGACAGAGGTCACAGGTCACGCGATACAGTTATTTTAAGCCCCAAGGAATGCATTCAATTTTATGTTTTACTCTATTGTTGATTATTAATTACTCCCTTGATATACTTCGAAGCACAAAGTTACACAATGTGGATATATAACTTCTTAAACAATTTATTAGTTACCTGTGTAAAAATATAAAAATAAAAATTGTGAAAGAATTTTTGGGGAGAAATTCCGATGAGTTCATGACCCATTTTTTTTAAAGCACTCACTGGCAAAAAGGTTAAGTTGTGGAAATCAGGTCGGAAGGACCAGGCATAGCTTTACTATGACAGTAAAAAGTTACCTAAATCTCAGTAAGCTGAATGGAATAACATTGTTTACATTGTTTTTCTTTGTTTCAGAGTGTCTTTCTGCCACAAGGATATCCTGACACTGTCAGTGAAGATTATTTGTCTTACCAGATTTGGGATACCACTCAGGTAATTGTTTGTGTTCCCCAGCTCAGGTAATTCAAATCAAGTCTTTCTGCCCAAGAAGTCACAGCGTGTGACTAGCAAGGCATTATGTATTACCATAATTGTAACAGACTCACAGAGCATGTTGAGAAAGGTGGAGACAGGCATGTTTCGTGCAGAGGGGCAAGCATTACTTCAGTGGTCCCGGGTAGTTAGCATTCTTTGGATATTTTTTCCAGATTATGCCAGTATGTTAGGAAATGAGCAGGCAGATAGACTCGCCGGATCTGCACCACTAGGTGGTGAAATTGATGCATGACAAGCTGGATGTTGTGAGGGCCCTTTGGGAGCAAGTGAACAGGGCAGAGTCACAAATGAATCTTTACGGTTTGACTATAGTGGTGCTGCGAGGAGTTACCAGGGGATTGGGCTGATGCTCAGCACTCAGGGGAAATGTGAGACGGATATACAGATATTACTGGTGCCTTTAGAATTGGAACTCTTCGCATGCTGCTGAAAATGGGGACAGAACGCTTATGGGAGCATCCTAACATCTATGATGTTGATTCTTAATTCAACATTAAACAATGCATTAACTCTTCCAGTCCTCAGAAGATTTAACTCTATTTCTTCTATTCCACTGATGTATTACTACAGAGTAGCAGTATTTTGGATTCTTTTCGACCACATCATGTGTGATTTAGGGACATTCTGTATTACAGGGAGGTTAGGGTCAGAGCTACTGTTAAATAAATGGCAACTACTGCTAACCCAAAACCCTAACTCCCCTATACTATAGGATTTCTGTAAATCTCATGTGATGTGATCGCTTAACAGAAAAGAACCGTCTTTTGATCTATTTGTTCACAGTGAGTTAAGGTAATACAAGTACAAAAATTAGAAAGCAGTGACAGCATAAGTGGGTTTTGAAAAAAAAAAATCTTAAAAGTGATAGAAATAACAAAAACCATGCAATTTTTTGTTTAACCTTTCAGTATTGTTGTTAAGGATGTCAAGAGTGTTAAGCACATGATGTTATAATGCAGACGAATGTGGTGATGTCATAATGACAGTTTAAAGATGTCCACCCATATAATTTTCTAGAAGTCAGGTCTAAAGGAGCTGAATTCCTGTTAAAGTGCACAGTAATAATAATAATAATAATTATGTGCTGAATTGCAAATAACTATAAAAATATACTGGAAATAATAGGAAATGTATAAACAATTAGAATGAGAATGTCTATACATGGTTGGTTGGGGGGAGGAGGGGGGTGGAGAGACACTTGGCCTCTTTGCAAATTTGCTAGGGTTTGAGGGTGCAAATTCCTGCCTTCCTCCTCCCTAAAAATTAGTGCCCCAGTACACAGGTTCTGACAGCTATGACTCAGAGCACAACTCATCTACACTTTCGCCTATGCCTGTGACATGTGGACCTCAGAGTCTGAACTCAAAAGATAAATCCAGGTGCTAGAAATGAGGAGAGCCTTTTCACGATTCTATGTAGATCGTACAGAGACCAGGTCAGATGGTGCAGTTAGTCCAGTCATTACTCAGCGCATTGGTAGCTAGAAGTCTCTTTTAGCAACAATAAGAAAGACACCTAATGCAAAGATGTTGATGTACAATAAGATCTACTGACTTTTCCAAAAGCATCAGCAGGGCTTAATGCAGGGGATGGGGTGACAAAGATAAGCCAAGAAAGACCTGGATCCAAAATATGGCGGACTGGAAGGGCCTCAGATACAAAAAAGCTCAAGTCCACATGCATCAGATCACCTGAAATGGAAGGACCTGATTTAATAGTTAACGGTAACGTGGTGACAAAACAACAACAGTTTCATGGGACCATAGATAAACAGAAAGACACTTTACACTGTTGTGTACATCCTCGTTGTGATCATCAGAAGGTTGGAGGGGAAAACAAGAAGCAGACAGAGACCAAAGGAGAAGGTGCTGGACAGTTTCAGGTCATGACATGGTAGATAATCTGTATCATCTCTGACAGAAAGTACACAAGACAGAATGATGTGGATAGACATGACTACCAATACCACACACAGGGACTATGGAAGATCATCTCTGACAGAAAGTACACAAGACAGAAGGATGTGGATAGACACTACTAATGCCACACACAGGGACTATGAAAGGTCATCCCTGACAGAAAGTACACAAGACAGAATGATGTGGATAGACATGACTACCAATGCCACAGAACATGAACTGTAAAAAGAAGAATGTACATCCTACTCACTTATGCCTTAAATATCTCTGCAGGCCTTTGCCAGCAGCATCACCGGAACTCTTGCTGCCCATGCTGTTCTTAAAGGTGTAGGAGTTGGAGATGCATCGGCCACTGTGATGGGGGCAACATTGACTTGGCTCTTGAAAGGTAGACAGGGCTTGTTACAACTGTGTTTTTTGTTTGGTTGAATTGACCACTTCATGACACCTACAGCTGTATATTAAGGGTATTAAACATATTTCAACATATGGTTTGCAGACCTGCCCACTCTGTCTATAACTTGCCCTCAAAAGCAAAGTCTGCAGAGCAAGCTGTGGGGAACCATGAAGGACCTGAAGCAGACATGTGAGTTAATAGAGGCAACCTACCTGATGGTCTGACCTGAGCATATGCAACCGATCGCAGAGAAGAACAAGAAGAAGAAGATATGGTTCTAATTCTGTTTTTGTATGCGCCTTTACACTCAGTAGGTGATTGATCAAAGTCAAAAGAATGCATTCTTCAATACACATTAAAAAAAAGTTGGGTGAGCACACGAGGTGCGCTTATTAAGGCACATGGAGAATAGTTGAGCACGCATGGTGCACTTGTTATGAAACACATGAATGTTTAAACCTCTATATCCACACCCTAAAGAGAATAAGTGATTCTCAAGTGACGTTCTCCTCCTCTGTATCAATACCACTTGAGACCTGTATCTGCCCACTCTGTTGCCGTTATTGTACCGTGCTGATTACTGATCTACCCATGGGAGCATAGACATTGCTAGTGCATTGTGAAAATTCAAAGAAAAACAAGTTTTGTTGTTCTTTTCAGATGGAGCTGGAATGCTTGGCCGCATTTTGTTTGCTTGGTCAAAAGGGTAAGTTTCATTTCACATTCATCACCATGTGGGTTCTTGAGCCCCATTTGGAAAGTGGGAGGGGAGGGGGGGATAGACTGCCTGCCCATCTAACAAGCATGTCGTAAAGGTCGACTAATTAGGGGTGTATCCTTAGAAGTTGAAGCGCATATGCCTGAAAGCGAGGAACCATCAGTCCGCATACAAATAAGTCATATCTATAAAACGAATATGCACGCAAAGCAAAACTCAAGACAAGAAGTAGATGAACAACCAAAACTTTTCTGCCGGAGTTAACGATCGATGAATATGAAGAGAAGAAGAGTTTACTCTCTTTCTGATTATAGATTCAGGTGAGAAAAGAGATGTCTTCTCATCTGAAAGCAACGGACCATTGTATTTAGATTACAAACTGGATACAACAGACGCCACAGCTGTCATCGTCATGTAGCAGGTCCTTAACAGAACGTCGCTGTCATCAGAATCTGCCTGAAAGAAACTTAGTCTCTTGCCAGCTGTTCCGCCTCATGCACTTTCCTACCCCAGGTGTCACTTATATCCTGTGCCCATTTTTGTGCAGATCGGCACCTACGTCTCATTCCTGGCACCATACCTTCTATTTTCTGTTCTATCTAACCAACTGATATGCTTGATGTGCCCAAAATATTACAGTTTCCAAGAGAAAATACTGTTCAGTTCCTTGATGTTCAGATTTTAAAGATGTCTTTTTACGGAGTATTTATGGAGTATTTCTTCGCAGCTTTATATACAGGAAATTCAGGATTGTGGACTCAGAACTTTGTCTATTTAAACGTATACCCCAGAATTGTGAACTGTGCCAAAACCTGCTCAATACAGGCAGTAGATAGATCCTAGATCTGGCCAGTTGGCATTCCAGTGGAAACCAAGCTTTATGGATCAGTGCTTTAAGGCACTACAGCCTTCATAGAGGCTAAAATGAGTAGACTGACAGAAATGATACTGCATGGTCTTAACATGTTGGCATGAAGGAATATCAGCCAAATTAATTCAGAACACCCCTGTGGGTTCTGGGGCCCAGTTATAAGGACAATTAAAATAGGCCCACTATTCCCGCCCACATCAAGCATGTCGTAAAAGACGACTAAGCATGGTTGCTTTCTTCGAAGTTGGATTTACATCTGCATATAAATAAGCCAGATCTGTAAAATGGATGTGCATGCACAACAAAAGTTCCAGGCACTGAGCTTTGAGTTGGGTTATCTTCCCGGCAGTCTGGTCGTGTCCATAGGTGCTCAGATCCCTCTTTCAACATATACCTCAGTGTCCCACAGCTAACAGTGATAATCCTGTTTTGATTAACATGACTTCACTTACACCTGGTGTGCCTCTCTTGCCTGGCTCTGCTGATCTCTACTCCCAGTTCTCCCAGTTTTAACAGCAATGCAGAAATACTGCTCCCAGTATCCACCATCATCCTCTCTGTTTAACAGCATTAACAGTGTAGGTGTGATCCATAGTGCAACCATCTACAACTAAGACAGAGCCGTCCAGTCTGTTAGCTCATTCATTACTAAAGATGCGACAGAGATAAAGGTAACTCCACGCACAGTGAGATTTTACAATGATTCAGGCCACTGTCTGCATACAGAACCTGCCTCAACACGCCAGATCAGCTCATGTGATTTATCACAATTTACATCACTGTACATTAGACATTCCTATCTGTGTACAGTCCTCTAGTTGCAGCAGCCACACTAAGGTACCTCTGCTGTGTGTTCCCATGAGGAGCTGGTTATAATGTCTCCTGTGTTGGCCTGGAGGGCGGCATAGACATGCTTCACCATGTGCTTTACTCCCATGTCACACAGCCATGTTAGGATCATACTGGTTGAATCACTCAGCACACAGATGTGGGCTTTGTGGAGTAGCATCAATGACTGCTCTAGCAGGACAGCAACAGTTGAAACCACCATTACCACCACCACCACCACCATTACCACCACCACCACCATTACCACCACCACCACCACCATTACCACCACCATTACCACCACCATTACCACCACCACTACCATCACCATTACCACCATTACCACCACCACTACCATCACCATTACCACCACCACTACCACCACCATTACCACCACCATTACCACCACCACTACCACCACCATTACCACCACAATTACCACCACCACTACCACCACCACTACCACCACCATTACCACCACCACTACCACCACCATTACCACTACCATTACCACCACCACTATCATTACCACCACCACTACCACCACCATTACCACCACCATTACCACCACCACTAACATTACCACCACCACCACCACCACCACTACCACCACCACCACCACCCCATTATATCTTTTTCCTGCTTGTTTCATCAGTCACTTAGTTTGTCCCCTCTGGAATGCTACCTGAAGGCTTACCATATCGTTCTGAGATTTCAAAAAAAAATTCTTAATCTTGATGGTAGATCAACAAGGCAGATCCAAGGTACCCTGTTCAACCTCCACAGAAGTTAAAGTTCTCCATAATGGCCACACCAGACAGGTGTAACCTACAGTCCTCAGTGGGTAGGGATGATCTTGTCTCATCTTCTCCTGCTCCTCCTCTTTATACTCTTCTTGTTCTGCCGCTGATCCTTCTTGTACAGTGCATACAAACCAGACACACTTTTCATAATGCTGATAGTTTTAATATTGTTTGCTTATGCTTCATTTTTCTAGAACTGGACTTGACTGTGATGCTAAAAGATGGAGGTAAGGCTGTCTGTACATATTTTGTGTCCAAATATTATTCTTTGATCAATTATAACAGCAGCAATTTGTTTTTCTCCCTCCATTAAACAAGCAAGCAAGTATTCTTCTTCCTTCATTTCCTTTCTTTTTTTTTCCCATCATCCAATGAAGAATAGGCCTTCAACCAACTTATTCCAAGTAATTCTCTTCTTACTCTCTCATCATCGGGGTCTGTGGCTTAGGCGTTGCAAACGGGTTCGATCCCAGCTGCAGGCGCCTTGCGTTGGTTTCGACAGTGGTATTGAGAAGCCGACCACCCAGAAAGCAGCGGCAAACTACTGGACGTAAACTTGCCTAGAAAAACCACAACAGCCAAAAAATGCTGGAGTTGGTTCTGCAATGTTCTGTAAAGGATACCCAACTTACTTTTAACCCCTCTGATCAATTTTTTCCTTTATAATTAATTTGTCTGTGATTTTAATTTTCATTCTTTTTTTTTTTTGCCATGGGGGTTCCAGAGGAAAGACTGTCCAGTTATACTATAAATAAGTTTCATAATTTGATTGTCTGTCCAGCACCAGCATATTTTCCACACCTGTTATTCCTGAACTACTTTTTATTCTATCCATAAGCTCCTGATGAGAGATTCTCATGTATAATTATAATTCTCTTATATTCGGTACCACAAAGGTTCTGGTAAGCAAAGGCAGCTAGTGTGATTGTCACACCATTTTTTGTGTGTTGGATTATGACAGAAACTTCATAGACTTTCAAATTAGGTTATTTTAGGTAATTTTTACTAGTCATATATAATATGAACAGTCGTTTTCGTCGTCGTCTTCTTCACTTCCTTTTTTTTAAAACTGTGTGTTTCGGCCGTCGAGTGAGATATAAAGTTCTGCTTCTTACTCTTCTAGCAGTCTCGACCATACACACGTCATGCTCACCTTAGATGTTACTTTTCCACATCAGTAGTTTTAGTGAGCACAAATTAGTAACAATTGTGTGAATTGCCTGTTAGGTTTTTGTGCAGCTGTGTTGCTTAGAGGTTAGTGACATTGTTTCACAATGCAGTCAGCATCATTTACCAGGGCTCAGTTCCCATGGTGGCCCATTTAGGAAAAGGACCATCCTCATGGCCTTTGGACAATCATACAAGAGTCACACTGTGAAAGAGATTGTGCCTCACCATGTATTGTTTTTATAGTCACAGTGAATACCTAGTAATCAATCTCCATTTTGGCGATGACACAATCAACAGAAAGGCTAGGTTTTACAATAGATGAAATAATTAAGTTTGTTTTCATCACAGGACCTTGCAGGCATAATAGGAAACTCTCATATGATCTCATTCTTGTCTACAGACTACTAACTGATGTTCTCATAGCATAATACAGATCTGTCACACTACCTCATTCTTGTCTACAGACTAATAACTGATGTTCTCATAGCATAATACAGATCTGTCACAATACCTCATTCTTGTCTACAGACTAATAACTGATGTTCTCATAGCATAATACAGATCTGTCACACTACCTCATTCTTGTCTACAGACTACTAACTGATGTTCTCATAGCATAATACAGATCTGTCACATGATCTCATTCTTGTCTACAGACTACCAACTTATGTTCTCAAAGCATGTTACAGATCTGTCACATGATCTCATTCTTGTCTACAGACTACTAACTGATGTTCTCATAGCATGATACAGATCTGTCACATGATCTCATTCTTGTCTACAGACTACTAACTGATGTTCTCATAGCATAATACAGATCTGTCACATTATTTCATTCTTTTCTGCTGACTTTTTGCCGATGTTCTCATGAGTATATTACAAATCTGTCATCTTATTTTGTTATTTTCTGGAGACTATTTGCTGATGTTCTCAGGGCATGATACAGATCTGTCACATTATTTCATTCTTGTCTACAGACTGTTTGCTGATGTTCCTAGGGCATGATACAGATCTGTCACATTATTTCATTCTTGTCTACAGACTGTTTGCTGATGTTCTCAGAGCATGATACAGATCTGTCATATTATTTCATTCTTGTCTACAGACTACTAACTGATGTTCTCAAGGCATAATACAGTTCTGTCACATTATTTCATTCTTGTCTACAGACTGTTTGCTGATGTTCTCAGGACATGATACAGATCTGTCACATAATCTCATTCTTGTCTACAGATTACTAACTGATGATCTCAGGGCATGATACAGATCTGTTACACTATCTCATTCTTGTCTACAGACTACTAACTGATGTTCTCAGGGCATGATACAGATCTGTCACATTATTTCATTCTTGTCTACAGACTGTTTGCTGATGTTCTCAATGACTTTGCATTCTTCCTGGACATCATGTCACCAGCGTTTGGAAGTTACTTCACCCTTGTGGTCTGTGCATCTGGCATATGCAGGGTAGGTTTATGTGTTATTCTGCATAGATAAATGGTATATTTGTGCGTGTTTCAGGACAATAATAATTTGATCAACATTGTTTTTAAAACTTGTGTCATGCATAATTTTGTGTACACAAGGGAGTTGACAGTATAGTTGGAAATGTTATGAGAAATGCAATTAGTGATGAGGCATGTGAGAGCTTTGAGCCACTAAAAATTGGAGATAATCCTATCCCAGAACTCAGATCTGCAGACGACACAGTTCTCCTTTCCAACAGTGTACAAGGTTTAGAAAAATTTATTCTGGCTGTCAAAAAACACAGTGAAGAAGTGAATCTGTTTCTGAATTTAAAAAACAACAAAAATTATGTCCTCAGTAAATACAGCACACCAACCACATATTGCACAATCAAAAATAAAGAAATAGAAAATGTAACAGATTTAGAATACTTGGGCTCTTTAGTGAACAACAGTGGCGACTGCTCAAAATAAGTCAGAAGAAGACTTGCATTGGCAATGCAGAGATTAAATAACATGAAGAACCTATGGCAAAGCACGAGTAAATTGGTTAAAATACAAATCTTGAGATCATGCATTTTTCCTATGGCAACCTACGGTGTGAGTCTTGGACTCTCGCTCAGTCACTGAGGAAAAAAATTGGAGCTTTTGAAATGAAATGCTATAGAAAAATTCTTAGAATACCATGGATCAGGAAGAGGAAAATTATCCACATTCTGAACGAGTTGAACATCAAGGAGATTTGGCCCATAAACAGCATCCTGTCTCGAAAGTTGAAGTATTTTAGCCACATCAAGCGCCATCAAAAGACGTTGCTTGCAGTTTGTGAAAAAGATACAAGGAAGATGATTGGCATTGAAATCACATGGAGCTGGAGAGCTGGCTAGGGAAAGGGATACTTTCAGGCGTGCCATGAAGAGAGCCACGTTCTGTAAAGGACTTGCTGATTGATGATGATGAAGGGAGTAAAATGACCACACACCATGAGGCAGACCAAGAAAACTGTGGAGAGATAATATTTAAGCAGACACACAGATACTTGGAGTCACCAACTGAAAAGAGAATGCCAACCAAAGAGATGAATGGATGCAGGTGATTTCTGAAGAAATGAAACTCAAGCGCTCAGAATGCTGAGGAAGGAAGAAGAATGCATTTCTAGGACATTATGAAAACTAATAGTTACTTTTAAATAGTATTTCTGGTTGGTGTCAGGTCTAGCTATGATGTCAATTCTTAATTGAACAATTAGCAGTCAGTACTCTAAACTGTGTGTCATGGGTCTTTATGTCAATCCCCAGCCTTCTGTCTGATGTAAACAAAGCAGTTTCTGATATCGGAACTTTCTCCATGCCATGATTATCTGTTCACTATGATTTCTCTTGACCTTCCTCTGCTTTTCTTCCCTCCAACTTTCTTGTTGTCCGAATGTACTTCAGTTTTCCCTTCTTATGCTAAAATCAGCTTATATTTAATTTGCAATTGTTTCACAGAGTATCGTTGGGGTAGCAGGTGGCGCCACAAGAGCTGCTCTAACCCAGCATCAGGCCAGACGTAACAATATGGCTGATGTGTCAGCCAAAGATGGCAGCCAGGTCAGCATCATTTCATTATAATCTGCTGTTCTACACATTTTGAAATACATTTATTTTAGTTTGAATTTTGAATATAAGCAATGTATCTGTTTAGTTTGTCACAGCTTGAATATCTTTCTTCACCTATATTGGTGAATGCTGTGATGCAACTCATGCCTTCCACTGATCTATACAAGATTACCAACTGGCCACACCTTTGGATCTCGTACTGTATGCAGAGCGCATGTTTCCGTGGCGAAATGGTCAAGCTGTTTGCCTCGCGCTGTGAAGTTCATGGGTTTATTTCACAGTGGCGCTGTTCAGTTCACGAGTGCAATTTTTACAGAGATCCCTGGTGATTGTCACTGGAGCTACAGAGTTCGTGCTTTGTGCGATGCTCTCGGCAAGCAGCTAGCTGTCTTGCAGAGAGAGATTGAGCTATATGGGATAAAGCTAGGTGCAATGACGTTATCCTGTCACCTTCACCTTTACCTTATGTCTGCCACGCATGTTTAATATAGTGGGGTGCTTGTTTACATAGGCAACGTTCTTTGTCCCAAAGCTTGAGTTTCTTCTACATATGGCTGCATTCTGTTGTGTCTGGTTCTCACTCTGTTGTGTCTGGTTCTCAGTCTGTTGTGTCTGGTTCTCACTCTGTTGTGTCCAGATCTCAGTCTGTTGTGTCTGGTTCTCACTCTGTTGAGTCCAAATCTCAGTCTGTTGTGACTGGTTCTTAGTCTGTTGTGTCTGGTTCTCAGACTGTTGTCGGATTCTCACTCAGTTGTGTCTGGTTCTTAGTCTGTTGTGTCTGGTTCTCAGTCTGTTATGTCTGGTTCTCACTCTGTTGTGTCTGGTTCTCAGTCTGTTGTCTGGTTCTCACTCTGTTGTGACTGGTTCTCAGTCTGTTGTCTGGTTCTCACTCTGTTGTCTGGTTCTAAGTCTGTTGTGTCTGGTACTCAGTCTGTTGTGTCTGGTTCTCAGTCTGTTTTGTCTGGTTCTTTCTCTGTTGTCTGGTTCTCAGTCTGTTGTCTGGTTCTCAGTCTGTTGTGTCTGGTTCTTAGTCTGTTGTGACTGGTTCTCAGTCTGTTGTGTCTGGTTCTTAGTCTGTTGTGACTGGTTCTCAGTCTGTTGTGTCTGGTTCTCACACTGTTGTGTCTGGTTCTCAGTCTGTTGTGTCTGGTTCTCACTCTGTTGTGTCCAGATCTCAGTCTGTTGTGACTGGTTCTCACTCTGTTGTGTCCAGATCTCAGTCTGTTGTGACTGGTTCTTAGTCTGTTGTGTCTGGTTCTCAGTCTGTTGTCGGATTCTCACTCAGTTGTGTCTGGTTCTCAGTCTGTTATGTCTGGTTCTCACTCTGTTGTGACTGGTTCTCAGTCTGTTATGTCTGGTTCTCAGTCTGTTGTCTGGTTCTCACTCTGTTGTCTGGTTCTAAGTCTGTTGTGTCTGGTACTCAGTCTGTTGTGTCTGGTTCTAAGTCTGTTGTGACTGGTTCTCAGTCTGTTGTGTCTGGTTCTCACTCTGTTGTCTGGTTCTCAGTCTGTTTTGTCTGGTTCTTAGTCTGTTGTGACTGGTTCTCAGTCTGTTTTGTCTGGTTCTTACTCTGTTGTGTCTGGTTCTCACTCTGTTGTGTATGGTTCTCAGTCTGTTGTGTCTGGTTCTCACTCTGTTGTGACTGGTTCTCAGTCTGTTGTGTCTGGTTCTTAGTCTGTTGTGTCTGGTTCTTAGTCTGTTGTGACTGGTTCTCAGTCTGTTGTGTCTGGTTCTCACTCTGTTGTGTCTGGTTCTCAGTCTGTTGTGTCTGGTTCTCACTCTGTTGTGTCCAGATCTCAGTCTGTTGTGACTGGTTCTCACTCTGTTGTGTCAAGATTCAAGTCTGTTGTGACTGGTTCTTAGTCTGTTGTGTCTGGTTCTCAGTCTGTTGTCGGATTCTCATTCAGTTGTGTCTGGTTCTCAGTCTGTTATGTCTGGTTCTCACTCTGTTGTGACTGGTTCTCAGTCTGTTATGTCTGGTTCTCAGTCTGTTGTCTGGTTCTCACTGGTTCTGGTTCTACTCTGTTGTGTCTGGTACTCAGTCTGTTGTGTCTGGTTCTAAGTCTGTTGTGACTGGTTCTCAGTCTGTTGTGTCTGGTTCTCACTCTGTTGTCTGGTTCTCAGTCTGTTTTGTCTGGTTCTTACTCTGTTGTATCTGGTTCTCACTCTGTTGTGTCTGGTTCTCAGTCTGTTTTGTCTGGTTCTTTCTCTGTTGTCTGGTTCTCAGTCTGTTGCCTGGTTCTCACTCTGTTGTCTGGTTCTCAGTCTGTTTTGTCTGGTTCTTACTCTGTTGTATCTGGTTCTCACTCTGTTGTGTCTGGTTCTCAGTCTGTTTTGTCTGGTTCTTTCTCTGTTGTCTGGTTCTCAGTCTGTTGCCTGGTTCTCACTCTGTTGTGTCTGGTCCTCAGTCTGTTTTGTCTGGTTCTCACTCTGTTGTCTGGTTCTAAGTCTGTTGTGTCTGGTACTCAGTCTGTTGTGTCTGGTTCTCACTCTGTTGTGTCTGGTTCTCACTCTGTTGTGTGGTTCTCAGTCTGTTTTGTCTGGTTCTTACTCTGTTGTGTCTGGTTCTCAGTCTGTTGTGACTGGTTCTCAGTCTTAATAAAATGGTCTTTTGGGTGAACAGGTTGATTTGAGTCTTGGGATGATGTTCTGGGTGAAAGTGTTCCAGTGGATTCTGATGGCTGTCTTGGTCTGGGTTTTAATTTCCTCATCACTGCACGCTGAATGTGTATTACTCACACAATCTTTACTCATCATCATCATGTGCCTTGCCATCTGGTGTAGGCACTCAAGCATCTCCACAGATCAGGATCCCTGGTTGCCTGCAACAGCTCTCTTGATGATATTCATCCATGCCATCGTTTCAGCCAATCCAGCTTCATCTCTTTTGGTCTGCTGCTACTCCTTTTTCCACTCATCTTTCCAGTTGTCACAATCTTCTCCAATGTAAGTCTCATTATGTGGCCAAAGAACAGTGTTTGTCTCTTTCTTATTGTTGTATATAGAGATCTACTTTCATTAGCTTCTTTCAAGCAATCGTTGCTAATTACTCTGGCCGTCCAAGGTTTTGGTAACATTCGTCTCAGAAACCACATCTCTGTTGCTTCCAAATTCTTCCTAATTTGTTCTCTGATATTCCAAGATGATAACTTCCTGTGCAGGTACAGATGCTGATAACTTGCTGTGTGTTTGGGACTGGAAGTGCTAATGATCACTGTCATGGTCTTGATAACAACTTGTGCAGGTACAGATGCTGATAACTTCTTTTGTGAATTCCATACCCCACTTTGGAAAGAGAGAAAAAAAAAGGCAAGAACAGACTCAGTGCTGTTTAACAATCATGTTAAAAAAAGTGATTGATTAAATGTTTTCTGAAATTGGATGTTTTCGGCTGAAAAGTGCACATATCACAGCCTAGCTGTAAAACACAAGACAAAGTGCCAACCACCCTTTTTATATTCCCCATAAGAATATTTATTTTATTCCTTTGTTTTGCATTCCCATACTCCCACTTTGCAAAGAGACCTTGGTTAATCTGGCAGAACAGATCTGCAGTGCTGATTTTAACAATTGGTCATGGTCAAAAAAAGTGAGTTGATTGATTAAATGTTTTCTGAAATTTTATTTTAGTGTTTGGAGGAAGTAGTTGTCAGTGGTCACCAGATGTGGGTTGAATAGCTGTAAAACACAATTTTATTTATGTGTTTGGACCACAGTATGTTGTCAGTGGTCACCAGATGTGAGTTGAATTGTTTACAGTCAGATATCTGTGATTTTATTTATGTGTTTGCAGGTCCATTATGTTGCAGTGGTCACCAGATGTGAGTTGAAGTTTACAGTCAGATATCTGTGATTTTATTATGTGTTTGGAGGTCAGTATGTTGTCAGTGGTCACCAGATGAGTTGAATTGTTTACAGTCAGATATCTGTGATTTTATTTATGTATTTGGAGGTCAGTATGTTGTCAGTGGTCACCAGATGTGAGTTGAATTGTTTACAGTCAGATATCTGTGATTTTTTTTATGTGTTTGGCGGTCAGTATGTTGTCAGTGGTCACCAGATGTGAGTTGAATTGTTTACAGTCAGATATCTGTGATTTTATTTATGTGTTTGGAGGTCAGTATGTTGTCAGTGGTCACCAGATGTGAGTTGAATTGTTTACAGTCAGATATCTGTGATTTTTTTTATGTGTTTGGCGGTCAGTATGTTGTCAGTGGTCACCAGATGTGAGTTGAATTGTTTACAGTCAGATATCTGTGATTTTATTTATGTGTTTGGAGGTCAGTATGTTGTCAATATATGTTGGTTGCCAGTTGTTTATATTTCCAGTCATATTGCTAGTAGCATGCTCTGATCACACGATAAAGCATGAAAACACATTATGTGAGGGATGGGATTCAGGGTAAAGGATCAGTTCACACATCCAGTGGTGCTTGGGATTGAAAGAGCTAAAGGTCACGTATGTGGCAGGCATACCCCCCTGACCCCCATCGTACATTTGGCCCTTCCAGATGCTCATATTTTTTTAACAGTAGTTATATTTTCAGTACTTAATTTATAACTTACCCCTGACGTCACGACTACGTCACGGGAGACATTCCAAATAAATTCTAGGGATTTCAGGTTGTAGTTTCTCGCGATTTATCTACAGCCAAGTTTAGGGTTAGGATTAGGGTTAGGGTTAAGGTTAGGGTTAGAATACACTAGATGAACACTCAAAAACAGCACCACACAACAGCACACTTGCACCCCTTGAAATAATGGACTGTCAGGTCAGCTGTGGATTTCCCACGGGGATTTCGTGTTTGGCGTACGTTATAAATTAAGAACCATATTTTCTGTATTTTGCATGTTAAATAAAATTTAGCAGTAAGCATAATATGAAATAGAAATTTTTTTTTTAGCTAGTGAGAATAAGACCATATCTTCAGCAAGACAGGCAGGTTGTACCCAACACGCACGCACGCACGCTCACCTCACCTCACCTCACCCTCACTCACTTCACCTCATTCACTCCTCTCCCCCCCCCCTTTCCTCTCTTTGTCTCTCACACACACATACAATTTAGAAGCAAATTAGTAAATGTAAAGTTGTCTAGTAATACCATAAACAGCTGTTGTGGCTTGTTTGCAGTGTCCTGCAACTCTTTCAGTTCCAAGGACTGATATCCAAGCATGCGCGCACATACACACACACATACACGCATGCTGCCTCTGCCTTACTCTCCCTACCTCCTCTCACTCTCTAACTCCATTTCTCTGTCAGGTGTCTCTGTCTAGATGTCTCTCTGTCTTGTCTGTCTCTGTGACTGTCTGTCTAGTACTCTGTGTCTGTCTGTCTCTTTCTGCCTCTCTCTCTGCTTCTCTCTGCCTCTCTTTCTGCCTCTCTTTCTACCTCTCTTTCTCTGCTTCTCCTTCTCTCTCTCTCTTTCTTCCCCCCCCCTCCCTCCCTCTCATTACATTGGTATTTAAATTACATTACAATTTCAGAATTATTTGGGCCCTGTTTGTAGTCTTCACAAGCCTGCACCTGTTTGCCAACTACAAGGCAGTCACATCAGTGCGCATGGAGACCCTCAACCAGGCACGGCTGCATCTGATTCTGACACACTACCTGGAGACAGACCAGCTGCTGGATGTGAAGACAGTGAACTACCTGGAGCCCGTACTTTTCCGTAAGAAGATCACTAACATTTAAGTGTTAGTTTCGCCTCCCTTGCCTCTTTCAGTCCCAGTAGTTCTACCAGCTGATATCCATCATCATCATCATCATCATCATCATCATCCCTGATCAAGAGCATATCAGGGATTTTGTGTCCAGGAAATTCAGGTGTGCGAGGTGATGAGCAGGCTGATAGATTAGCTGCTGCTGCTCCTAAAGGTGGGGAGATGCTGTATGATAAAGCAGATGTGTGAAAGCTCTGTGGCAGGGCTATTCAACCAAGTTTACTCAGGGACCAGCATTATGAAAATAGGAATCGTCACGAGCCAGAGGCTGGAGCCCAAGTATAGAGAGATCATTAACATAATAATACAACTGGCAGTGATCTGCAGGCCATTTGTTAGGCTTCCGTGGGCCTGATTTGGCCCGCGGGCTGCCAGTTGAATAACTCTGCTGTATGGGATCACTTGGACAGTACAAATGAACAGATAGGGAACCCATACACTGAAAGTCTAATTTAGTTGGGGGGGGGGGAGGGAATTGAGTAGAGATTCTGGGAAATATTCAGTATTCAAAGAGAAACAGAGACGGACTCAGTTTGCCACTGGACCATTAGCAATTCATCTCTTCGTTGGTTACTGCAGAAGGAGATGGAGCACGTATGGGAATGTCCTGAGTGGGAATGTCACCTCTTAATTCATTAATTTATTTATTTATTCATTATCATCATCAGTTTCCACTTTTGCCCTTAAGCCTCATGGGGAGCAGCAGTGTGTCATCCACTGCCTGATGGGCAGCTGTGGATATTGTCATTCCGTAGAAGCTGATTAATGTCATCAGTCCATCTTCTCCTAGGGCGACCTCTTGTTTTCACATCAGATGTTTTCATGTGTAGCACCTGTGTTGGTAGTTGTTCTAGCTGTATTCTAACTAGATGGCCAAACCATTTGACCTGTGTCTTAATGAATTTGCTGCATGATGTTGTTCCTACAGTCTGTTTGATAATATCATTTCTAACTTGGTCTCAGACGGTTAAGTTAACACCATTTCTCAGGCATTTAATTTCACAGGTGTTTAATTTTACATAGGTTAGCCCTTGATAATGTCCACGTCTGGCACTTGTAGCACAGTAGTGGTATGAATATGCTGTTCATAATCTGTTTCTTGGTGGTCATACTTATGTTAGGATGTCTTCATTCCGATGTCAGTTGGTATATAAGTACACTGGCTCGTTGGCATCTTGTTTAAATTTCCTAATCTATTCTCCTATCCTCCAAGAATACTTCAGGTATCCAAGAAGGCAAAAAGAACACTGAGAAAAAAACGTGAGCGTTTTAGTTTCAAAGAAAAAACAGACGCTAATGGGACATGTTTAAATATCATATGTCTTCTATATACTCTGACAAGCGTAAAGATAATATATAAACATATTGTGTAGCTTAGTACACATAGACATAACTGATCACACTTTTTATGTTCTTTGGGACCGAAAGAGTTACAGGACATTGCATACCAACCACGATGGCTGTTTTTTGTTTTAGATCAGCGTGAAGCAGTCTGCTGCTAAGTTGCCTGCAGATGAATTGAACTGAATATTTTGGAATTATAAACCACGTTCATAACCTGTAACCTGCAGACATCAATGATTTCAGTGTAATGTTTTTATATTTTAGGAGTCGCCGTGGCCGGAGCCGGGCTTTTTAAAAAAATGACCTTGACTCCCAGGTCGACCCAGCCTTGAGTGGGTACCAGGGGCAGTCCCCGGAAGTAAAGGTGGCCGGCAGGATGCTGACCACATCACCCATCTTGTGCTGATTGGTCCATAAAAATATAGGTCTAGCCCTATATGCCCAATACACCTAAAGGCGTGGAAAAGAGTCCTTTACTTTACCTTTTTATTACTTTATTACTAGTCATCTGAAGCCCTTCTTGTGATTGCTTTCCTGATCTATGCCGGTAGAGTTCTTGTGATAGAATTTACTGTAGTTTAAGTTTTTTTTTTAAAGTTCCATGCAATGATGAGTATGTTGTTGACTCATTGGGCCAGTATTCCTGTGTTAATAGGCTGGTCAAAAGACAGTTTTGCAGGATATGTTCTGCGTTTATTCCGCATAGCACCCCCCCCCCCCCCCCCCCCCCCCATATGCAAAAAATAATTCTTTCTCTCTCTTTTTTGTTTGTTTTAAAATTTAATTTCCAGAACTCTTTCCACCTTCCCAGTCTCTCCCAGTCCAGTATGCTAGGCAATGAATTGTGCGATCTGTTGTTTATGTCTTCTTTGTTTACCTTTTACCAGTGTCAGTTACTAACAATTTATAATTTGTCTGCTCAGCTGTCAGACGTCCATTCAGCATTAGACTTGGAGTGTCTCTGGGTGATTTGATCAAAAGGTAGGTTGAAGTTGAATTTATTTGATATATTGTCTTAGAAATTCATAATAATTTTTTTTTCAAATACTTGTAGACAGTAAAGTAAAGGTCCCTTTTCCACGCCTTTAGGCTTATGGGGCTAGACCTATAGTTTTTATAGACCAATCGGCACAAGATGGGTGATGTGGTTATCATTACTTCCCGGGACTGCACCCGGTACCCACTCAAGGCTGGGTCGACCTGAAAGTCAAAGTAATTTTGGAAAAAGACTGGCTCCGCCAGCGATCAAACCCACGACTTTCCAATCTGCGTGCGAGCGTTTTCTTGTAGACAGAGATAGTAGATTTACATAACGGGCATAAAACCACATAATAAGCCTTGAATTTGGATGGAAGCAGCTTAAAAAAAAGGGACTAGTTATCAACCTAGATAAGGCAGAATAAAAACAAGACAGCAAAAGGATACAAAATCGAACCGCATACAAATAGATACTATGAAATGTAACGAACAGAAATATGCAAGTACTTGGGTACGTCAACTGCTCTAACATACTAAGGGAAGAAATACAGTCTAAAATAGAATCTGGAAATAACATATAATATACTCTACAGCATCTACTAAAATAAATTGTCTGTCTTATAAAACCAGGATTACAATATATACAACACTGATAAGAATGATGAAACTGTTGTCTTATATGGCTCTGAAACCTGGAGCACAGCTAAAAGAGACAGTCTTATTACATATTTTTGAAAACAGTCTTACAACAAATTTTTTGACCCATCAAAGATGAAAACAGCGGAGAGTGAAGGCCAAGAAACAACAAGGAAATTCACAATGTGTTTAAATCACCACTGACCACTGGCGGTATCGTGAGAGGTAACATTGAAATGGTTGATGTGTCCAGAGAGAATGGCAGATGACAGAGAGGTAAAAACTATGCTTGCAAGGGAGTTGAGTAGCTGTAGACCATGGCGTGAATCGAGAATACAGCGGAGAGATAATATCCAGGTAGACCTACAAACACTCGGTGTCACCAGTTGGAAAGAGGGAATCAATTACAGAGATGATGGAGGCCGGTGATATTTGCTGAAATGAACCTCAAAGGCTCGGAATACTGAAAAATAGAATGTTGAATTAAGAACCAACATCACAGCACTTGGGACACTCCCATGAGTGCTGAATCCCCATCTTCAGCAGCAAGCTATTAGTTCCAATTCTGATGGTACCAGTAACCGTCTGATTGTATATCCGTCTCATCCTTCCCCTGAGAGACGGATAAACTAAAGAAGAAAATTTCTCTGTTATTTTATGAATGAAAAAGAGGGGCAAAGAAAAGTAGTTGAATCAGGTCTTCAGATGTGTAATCATATTGGGGGTTGGCAGGTTGTGTGTGTTGGTCATTATGTAGGAGCATCGGATATGACTGAGTTACCGTATAACACTAGTCGGGACTACCTGTTCTCTGTTAATGCCTAATGTTAGGCAGTGTCTACCAAGCATGATATCCCACTTGTACCACACATACCAGTATTTATGTAGCACACGCCAAGGCTCACACTAGATGCCTCTTCAAAACTTGATACTGAAAGGTAGAACAGGCTACATAGAAAAAAGAAGTTTTTTCAAACCTAAACTGATGTTTATTTTATAATTGTTCAAACAGTTAGAATTTGCTATTTTTTAGGTGAGTGATTTCTTAGTTTCTGGTTAGGTCACTCTTAGTGGTTTTTTTTCTTTCTTCAGTATTTCATTTTCCACTTTAATGGATGTTTATGAGCGGCGTGTTGAAGGCTACATCCTGGCGCTTGACATGAAACGAAGTAAGTAATCTATTAACTCATTCAGTACCAATGAAAGCAGCATGTGTTTATTGGTTACTCTTAGCATCATATGGTTTTTTACTCTTTGTAGTGCATCCTTGTGTCAATAGGAGACTCGCTTTCAAATCCAGCTGCGACTCGCTGCAGCCCACAGCCAGTGTTCAAAACTGGGCGGTTCACAGGGTTACCCAACCTCTAGGTAATGGGTACCAGAGTTAACACTCTGGGGTAAATGGAAGAACGTCGCTGTAGCTACAGAGTTTCATACGGACAGCGACACAGGCGGACAGTTTCTTATCATCTGTCCATACGGGTGGTAGAGCACTTATGGTTTATAACCGTGTGCAATGATGCTGGTTCACATCTCCCGACCTTACCTTTTATTTTTATTTTTTTTAGATTATTGGACCGATGTCACAAAATTGGCAGAGCAACCGTGTAACAATTGACATGAAAAGAGCACTATCCACTACAGTATTTTTACCAACATAGTATTACCAGTGCCAAACATGGACAGTAACAACAAAGAAAAAAAATAACAGCGTCTATGACAAATCCTAAACATAGCTAGAAGAGACAGCATCAGAAATGACGATATCATGAAAGGATTTGGGATGGATCCAGTCCTAAACTACATCCAGAGTCCACAGATCAAATGGTTTGGTCATATGTCAAGACTACCACAAGACAGTGCACCACAGAGAGCCCTGTCACTTAGACGTAATTGAAACAGAGCTAGAGGTCGACCACGCTAGCCAGGGATAGATGGAATATCTGAGGTCATAACTACCAGCATCTACATAGCACATACCAAGATTTGCAGCGGGTCCTTTTCAAAAACTGATGTAGGACTAGAGAGGATGTAGAAAAAGATAGCTTTTCTGGTATACACACATTCGGAACCTTGTCATGGCTGAGGTATTTGTGGACTGTATTGAGTTCTCTGTTCATGTGATCTACAGGAGACTGAGCACTCGTGCAGATATCTACAGAAAGTAAAAAAAAAAAGTAAAGGACCCTTAAAAAAAATGTAAATTTTATCACAAGAACTCTACCAGTGTAGATCAGGAAAGCAATCACAAGAAGAAGAAGGGTTACAAATGACTAGCAATAAAATATTTAAAAAAAAGTAAAGTAAAGGTCCCTTTTCAACGCCTTTAGGCGTGTAGGGCATATAGGGCTAGACTTATATTTTAAAGACCAATCTGCACAAGATGGGTGATGTGGAGTATCTAAAGTGTTGTCCCAAAAACAAGCCTGAATCATTTAAATGTTTGTTCCAAATGATGCCATGGGGCTTGTTTTCAGGGGGACGTCTTATTCTTGTCATGTACACAAATATATGTTTATTCAAGCACAGAGATATGTACTTATGCAAGTTCAAGAAGCTACATTTATTCAAGTCTTTTATATATTAATTACTTAATAATTCAGTACATCCATCATGTGTTTACTTGTATGAACAGAATCTTATGTTTCACATAGGGCTAATGGTTGATTTAGATCTCATGATTGATGTAGGGCTTATTTTTGAGAGAATCCTGAAAAATAATGCTACAGCTTTTTTTCAGGTTAGGTCTTATTTTCGGATTGGGTCTTTTGCTGTTTTCAAAATTTGTTTGATATCTTCCACTTGTATCATGTCTTCATAATGCATATTTTTCAAGGTGCCAGCTAACTCCTTTCTAACTGCATCCCTGATGTCTACATCAAGCAAAAGACATTGCACCAGAGCCTGATGGTGTCAGGTATGGTCACATGAAGGCTTTGAGCGATGTAGACCTGGCAGAGATAGCCGACTGTTTTAACCAGTTTTAAGACAGTACCGCAAGACTGGGTGCACAGCTATCTAATCCCACTACCAAAACCTTTTAAAGATCATTCTAAGCTTAGTGGCTTTAGAATCATCACCTTACAAAACACACTTGGAAAGGTCTTGGAGAAGATAGTTGCTGTAAAGTTACAAGAATTTTTGGAAAGGGGGAAGCTTCTTCCAAGAGGTCTGGGAAGTTACAGGCCAGGAAAGGACACTTGGGCTAATGCGGCCACTTTTGCTTTTGACGTCTATGAAGGGTTCCAGAACAGACAGGAAACTATGGCCCAAGTCTCACGATAGATGGTAGAGACGTCAACAGAGAGAGCAAACTGAAGTATCTGTGAATTACATTTGACAGGAGCCTGTCATTTTAGGACCATGTGGAGAGTGTTGTGACGAAATGCCAAAAAGGACTTAGTGCCTTTAAGACTATGGCCGCAATTGACATAGAGCAGAGAATGCTCTTCACACTATATCAGCACCTGATCCTGTCAGTGGTGGATTATGGCCTGGGACTGCTTACCGTCTCAAAGAGTCAGATGGACAAACTAGAGCGCATACAGAACGCGGCTATGCGGGTCATTCTGGGTTGCACCAGAGACACCCCAGTGGTGTGTATGCGATACATCCTTGGTTTGCAGACGGTTGCAGGTAGGCACAAGGTGATGCAGGCGAAGTCATATCTCAGGGTAGCTGCAGACACAGACCACCCTCTGCATGAAGCTCTGGGTGCAGTTAAGGGTCAGCGGCTGATAAGAGGGAGGTCATGGATGGCTTAGGCAGAAGACACAATCAGACAGGTTTGCATCCCTGAGAACATTAGGCGAGGAGAGGAGTGGGTCAAAGTGCCACCTGAGCAGTCAGACTTGTGTAGAGTCATAATCACGCTGAGCCGGGAATGCAGACATTGGCCAGCAGGTGCCACAGAGGTGGAAATTCAGCAATTAATTCAAGATAATGCTCGCTCAGAGGATTTGATCGTTTACACAGACGGTTCAGTGTCAAGAGGCAAAAGAAGTGCTTGGGGCTTTTTAGCAAAAGTTAATGGTCGTCGTTTGGTGCAGGAGAGCCTAGCATATGATACCACAACATCCAGCTTAAGAATGGAGGTGGAGGCGGTCACTGCAGCTTTCCGCTGGCTAGAGAACACGACACACACACACACACACACATTGTTATTGTAAATGATTCAGAAAGCATGCTGAGAAAGATCAGAACAGGTATGCTTTGTGCAGAGTGGCATGCTTCGCTGCGGAGGACACGAGTGAGGAGTATTGTCTGGATTTTTTCACCGGGTCACGCCAGTGTGTTGGGAAATGAACAGGCGGACAGACTGGCTGGCTCTGCACAACTTGGTAGAATACTGCTAAATGATAGGGCAGACGTAGTTAGTGCCTTGTGGGAGAGCGTGTACAATGCAAATGGATCACCACAGTCTGGTAAGATTGATGCAGTTGGGGGTGACGAGAGGTTCTAGCAGAAGCTCAAGGCTCAGAGGAAAGGCAAGACGGACATTTAATCAGAAAGCTACTGGCACCATTAGTATCGGAACTCTTCGCTGGCTGCTTAAGATGGGGACGGAGCGCTTATGGGAATGCCCCGAGTGCTGCGATGTCGGTTCTTGAACCAAATCAAATCAAATCGGATTGGGTCTTAATGTTGGGTTATGTTTGGGTCTTAATTTTGGGTTATGTTTTGTTGTCCGATTGGGTCTTATTTTGGGGTTAAGGCTTTATTTTTGGGTTGTGTTTTATTGTCAGATTAAGTCTTATTTTTGGGTTGTGTTTTATTGTCAGATTAAGTCTTATTTTTGGGTTGTGTTTTATTGTCAGATTAAGTCTTATTTTTGGGTTGTGTTTTATTGTCAGATTAAGTCTTATTTTTGGGTTGTGTTTTATTGTCAGATTAAGTCTTATTTTTGGGTTGTGTTTTATTGTCAGATTAAGTCTTATTTTTGGGTTGTGTTTTATTGTCAGATTAAGTCTTATTTTTGGGTTGTGTTTTATTGTCAGATTAAGTCTTATTTTTGGGTTATGTTTTATTTTCGAATTGGGCTTTATTTTGGGTCTAAGTCTTATTTTTTGGGCTATGTTTTTTTTTTCCAGCATTGGATCTTATTTTTGGGAGGTCCTATTTTTGGGTTAGGTCTTTTTTTCTGAGAAGTACAATGTGTGCTGTGAAAGTGACTTTAAAAAAAATAAAAACTAGCTTTTGCTTTTTATGACCAGTTACATCAGGCCAGAGTCGGCTCTGTGGCTAAGTCGATGCGAACGCTTCATAATGCTGGGGTGCCGAGTTCGATCCCAGCTGGGGGCCTTGTGCCTTGCGTTGGTTTCGACAGTGGTATCAAGAAGCTGACTGTCCAGAAAGTAGTGGCAAATGATTGGATGTAAATTTGCCTAGAGAAACCACACAACAGCCAGGGGCGGCTGGGGTTGGTTTTGCAATGTCCTGTAAAGGATACGCAGCTAACCTTATATCAGGCCAGGGCTGTTCAACCAAAATTATCCAAAACTGCTTAAAAAAACTGCCAATGACTGCCTTTATTTGACCACTGGTGTAGGCAGGGGGGTCTTTGAGCCTGAGGATTTACGGCCGCATGGCTAGTGCTGTCGCCACGACTGTGCAAGTGAGGATTTTATTTTGCCCCCTCAGGAAAAAATCTCCTGCACTAAGTTTATCAAGGTGCCAAAATTTTGAAAATAAGTATCATCATGGACCAGAAACTCCAGCCCTAGCATAGATCATGAATGTAATGTAATTGGTAGTTATCGGCGGGCCACTTGCTAGGCCTCCACGGGCCAGATGTGGCCTGGGGCCAGCAGTTAAATTGCCCTGAGTTACATGAAGATTGAGCATTTTGTCTGTCTGCAGAAAACATCAGTATTGTCCTGGCCCAGGCTTCAGACACTCTAGATCAACTCCAGGCTTGTTTCCATGCTGAGCTGATCAACTTCATCTTTGATCAGACCAAGAGGGGCAAGGTAAAGTTGTAGACTCAGTCGTCTTGCTTGTTTCCATGCTGAGCTGATTAACTTCATCTTTGATCAGACCAAGAGGGGCAAGGTAAAGTTGTAGACTCAGTCGTCTTGCTTGTTTCCATGCTGAGCTGATCAACTTCATCTTTGATCAGACCAAGAGGGGCAAGGTAAAGTTGTAGACTCAGTCGTCTTGCTTGTTTCCATGCTGAGCTGATCAACTTCATCTTTGATCAGACCAAGAGGGGCAAGGTAAAGTTGTAGACTCAGTCGTCTTGCTTGTTTCCATGCTGAGCTGATCAACTTCATCTTTGATCAGACCAAGAGGGGCAAGGTAAAGTTATAGACTCAGTCGTCTTGCTTGTTTCCATGCTGAGCTGATCAACTTCATCTTTGATCAGACCAAGAGGGGCAAGGTAAAGTTGTAGACTCAGTCGTCTTGCTTGTTTCCATGCTGAGCTGATCAACTTCATCTTTGATCAGACCAAGAGGGGCAAGGTAAAGTTGTAGACTCAGTCATCAGAACTAATCTTCTTCTTCACGTTCACCGGCTGTGAACTCTGGCGGAAAGTTCTGGATATTCATCCGCCTCCGGGCTTTAGTCTTGTTCCAGAACCTGAGTGTTGCGTGCACATCTGTTTTACACATCTGACTTATCTGTATGCAGACTGTAGGTTCCTTGACTCTCAGGTGGGTGCACTCTGACTTTGAAGGAAGCTCCCAGTTAGTTGACTCTTACGACATGCTTGTTGGGGAGGCAGTTGGTTTATTCTTGTTTTCTCCACAATGGGGCCGCGGAATCCACATGGGGATGATCAGTAATCATTGTCTGCTCCTTTCAAGCTGGTTTTCAGACTGGCAGAAGTTGACTGGATCAAATAATTAACCTGAGACTTTTTCTAGAAGAACACATTGAGAAGCAACAACTCATTCAGAATTTTATTGATTTCAAGAAAACCTTTGACATCTTACATATACTTTCATTATGGGGAATTCTGGATTGCTACAGTATACCAGCCAAAACTATACACATTATTAGAAATTTTTATGATGGTTCAGAATGTGCTGTGTGCACTGAAAATGGTCTGAGTGACTGGTTTTTGGGTGGAAACTGGAGTGAAACAAGGCTGCGTTCTATCTCCCTTGTTTGGAGTAGCCATTGATTGAGTAATGATGTTGCAAAGGTAATACTGGCATTGATTGTGTAGAGAATAGACAACTGGAGGATCTGGATTTCACAGATGATATTGTTCTATTAAGAAAAAATAACAAAGACATGCAAAGAAAAACAGACAATTTCTAATGTACAGCATCAGAAATAGGACTATAAATAAGGTATGAGAAAACAACTACATTAAGGATACCAACATGTCATATAGGGGGCGTGCTAGAGAGGAAACCAATACAAATAATGGACCATTTCACTTATTTGGGTAGCAATTTTGACTTTCAAGAAGATACAAGGAGGGAAATGTTGATATGCATTGGCAAAGCAACAACTCTTTGAAATCCTTAACAAAATATGCAGCTCCAAGTTATACAGCTTCAAGACCAAGCTAGAATCTTCAGTTCTAGCATTATTTCATGTCTAAGATATGCCAGTGAAAGCTAGAGAACCACCAAAAATATGCCAGCAAAAGTTGGAGAACCACCAAAGATATGCCAGCGAAAGTTGGAGAACCACCAAAGATATGCCAGCGAAAGTTAGAGAACCACCAAAGATATGCCAGCGAAAGTTGGAGAACCACCAAAGATATGCCAGTGAAAGCTAGAGAACCACCAAAGATATGCCAGCAAAAGTTGGAGAACTACCAGAGATATTACATGAAAGTTGGAGAACCACCAAAGATATGCCAGCGAAAGTTGGAGAACCACCAGAGATATGCCAGCAAAAGTTGGAGAACCACCAAAGATATGCCAGTAAAAGTTGGAGAACTACCAAAGATATGCCAGCAAAAGTTGGAGAACCACCAAAGATATGCCAGCAAAAGTTGGAGAATCACCAAAGATATGCCAGCAAAAGTTTGAGAACCACCAAAGATATGCCAGCAAAAGTTGGAGAACCACCAGAGATATGGCATGAAAATTGGAGAACCACCAAAGATATGCCAGCGAAAGTTGGAAAACCACCAAAGATATGCCAGCAAAAGTTGGAGAACTACCAGAGATATTACATGAAAGTTGGAGAACCACCAAAGATATGCCAGCGAAAGTTGGAGAACCACCAGAGATATGCCAGCAAAAGTTGGAGAACCACCAAAGATATGCCAGTAAAAGTTGGAGAACTACCAAAGATATGCCAGCAAAAGTTGGAGAACTACCAGAGATATTACATGAAAGTTGGAGAACCACCAAAGATATGCCAGCGAAAGTTGGAGAACCACCAGAGATATGCCAGCAAAAGTTGGAGAACCACCAAAGATATGCCAGTAAAAGTTGGAGAACTACCAAAGATATGCCAGCAAAAGTTGGAGAACCACCAAAGATATGCCAGCAAAAGTTGGAGAATCACCAAAGATATGCCAGCAAAAGTTTGAGAACCACCAAAGATATGCCAGCAAAAGTTGGAGAACCACCAGAGATATGGCATGAAAGTTGGAGAACCACCAAAGATATGCCAGCGAAAGTTGGAAAACCACCAAAGATATGCCAGCAAAAGTTGGAGAACCATCAGAGATATGACAGCAAAAGTTGGAGAACCACCAAAGATATGCCAGCAAAAGTTGGAGAACCACCAGAGATATGGCATAAAAGTTGGAGAACCACCAAAGATATGCCAGCGAAAGTTGGAGAACCACCAGAGATATGGCACGAAAGTTGGAGAACCACCAGAGATATGCCAGCAAAAGTTGGAGAACCACCAGAGATATGGCACAAAAGTTGGAGAACCACCAGAGATATGGCACAAAGGTTGGAGAACCACCAAAGATATGCCAGCAAAAGTTGGAGAACCACCAAAGATATGGCACGAAAGTTGGAGAACCACTAAAGATATGGCACGAAAGTTGGAGAACCACCAAAGATATGCCAGCGAAAGTTGGAGAACCACCAAAGATATGGCACGAAAGTTGGAGAACCACCAAAGATATGCCAGCGAAAGTTGGAGAACCACCTAAGATATGGCACGAAAGTTGGAAAACCACCAAAGATAGACCAAAGAAAGTTGGAGAACCACTAAAGATATGGCACGAAAGTTGGAGAACCACCAAAGATATGCCAGCAAAAGTTGGAGAACCACCAAAGATATGCCAGCGAAAGTTGGAGAACCACCAAAGATATGCCAGCGAAAGTTGGAGAACCACCAAAGATATGGCACGAAAGTTGGAGAACCACCAAAGATATGGCACCAAAGTTGGAGAACCACCTAAGATATGGCACGAAAGTTGGAAAACCACCAAAGATAGACCAAAGAAAGTTGGAGAACCACTAAAGATATGGCTCGAAAGTTGGAGAACCACCAAAGATATGCCAGCAAAAGTTGGAGAACCACCAAAGATATGCCAGCGAAAGTTGGAGAACCACCAAAGATATGCCAGCGAAAGTTGGAGAACCACCAAAGATATGCCAGCGAAAGTTGGAGAACCACCAAAGATATGCCAGCAAAAGTTGGAGAACCACCAAAGATATGGCACGAAAGTTGGAGAACCACCAAAGATATGCCAGCGAAAATTGGAGAACCACCAAAGATATGGCACGAAAGTTGGAGAACCACCAAAGATAGACCAAAGAAAGTTGGAGAACCACCAAAGATATGCCAGCGAAAGTTGGAGAACCACTAAAGATATGGCACGAAAGTTGGAGAACCACCAAAGATATGGCACGAAAGTTGGAGAACCACCAAAGATATGCCAGCAAAAGTTGGAGAACCACCAAAGATATGCCAGCGAAAGTTGGAGAACCACCAAAGATATGCCAGCAAAAGTTGGAGAACCACCAAAGATATGGCACGAAAGTTGGAGAACCACCAAAGATATGGCACGAAAGTTGGAGAACTACCAAAGATATGCCAGCGAAAGTTGGAGAACCACCAAAGATATGGCACGAAAGTTGAATGATTTTGAAAATAAATGTCTGAGGAACATCATGAACATGAAGTGGGATGATTCAAAAAGTGCAAGGAGATAATAGGAAAGACAAAGAAGGTGGAGATATATTGGGCACATTCTGAGACAAAAATGAGCAAAGAATTACAAAACAGGCACTGAAATGGGAAACAAAGGGGCTGAGAAAAAGAGGACCTTCAAGGGAAACATAAGGAAGAACAATATTCTAAGAGGCAACAAATGCTGGTCTAAACTCCATGTCAGAAATTAAGAAAGTTGCATGCAGTAGAGCAGAGTGGAGGAATAGAATGTGAGCCATACGTGACGTCTAACGGCATATAAGGTCTAACACCACATAAAGGATGAAGATGATATGTGTATTTTTTACATCAATGTGTATGTGTGTATATTTTGGCTAAACAAAATTCGGTTAATGAAGATATTTTCATTGTTTTTTTTAGCCTCGTCTAATTTGGCTGACAGTTTATATTATATTACACTTATATTACACTTATATTACACTTATATTACACTTATATTACACTTATATTACACTTATATTACACTACACTTATATTACACTTATATTACACTTATATTACACTTATATTACACTTATATTACACTTATATTACACTACACTTATATTACACTTATATTACACTTATATTACACTTATATTACACTTATATTACACTTATATTACACTTATATTACACTTATATTACACTACACTTATATTACACTTATATTACACTTATATTACACTTATATTACACTTATATTACACTTATATTACACTTATATTACACTTATATTACACTACACTTATATTACACTTATATTACACTTATATTACACTTATATTACACTTATATTACACTTATATTACACTTATATTACACTTATATTACACTTATATTACACTTATATTACACTTATATTACACTTATATTACACTTATATTACACTTATATTACACTACACTTATATTACACTTATATTACACTTATATTACACTTATATTACACTTATATTACACTTATATTACACTTATATTACACTTATATTACACTTATATTACACTTATATTACACTTATATTACACTTATATTACACTTATATTACACTTATATTACACTTATATTACACTTATATTACACTTATATTACACTACACTTATATTACACTTATATTACACTTCTATTACACTTATATTACACTTATATTACACTTATATTACACTTATATTACACTTATATTACACTTATATTACACTTATATTACACTTATATTACACTTATATTACACTACACTTATATTACACTTATATTACACTTATATTACACTTATATTACACTTATATTACACTTAAATTACACTTATATTACACTTATATTACACTTATATTACACTTATATTACACTACACTTATATTACCACTTATATTACACTTATATTACACTTATATTACACTACACTTATATTACCACTTATATTACACTTATATTACACTACACTTATATTACCACTTATATTACACTTATATTACACTACACTTATATTACCACTTATATTACACTTATATTACACTACACTTATATTACACTTATATTACACTTATATTACACTTATATTACACTTATATTACACTTATATTACACTTATATTACACTTATATTACACTACACTTATATTACCACTTATATTACACTTATATTACACTACACTTATATTACCACTTATATTACACTTATATTACACTACACTTATATTACCACTTATATTACACTTATATTACACTTACACTTATATTACACTTATATTACACTTATATTACACTACACTTATATTACCACTTATATTACACTTATATTACACTACACTTATATTACCACTTATATTACACTTATATTACACTTATATTACACTTATATTACACTTATATTACACTTATATTACACTACACTTATATTACACTTATATTACACTTATATTACACTAACATGACATGGCCATATTTTGAGCTGTATCTTCGTACCATTGCATTTTTCTAATGAAGATTGCAGCTGAGGAATATGATTCTGGATTGCATGATCTTTGTTAGCCGAGGTATCAGTGTAATTATTGTGGAGATCAGCTGTGTCTCTGAAGTTAAGAAACATCACATCACACATACCTTGTTAACATTACTGGATACCTCACATCTGGTGTATCTGTTTCAGGAACTGAGGCCGAAACTCCAGAATTTGGGACAGTTGATCCAAAAATACCACAGCTCCAAAACTGAGGATGAAGGTTCGTACTGAGAAACATAGTGAATAACTCATCTTTGACCCGTTAATATTATAAATGCCATTTTCTTCTTCTTCACTTTCACCGGCTGTAAACTTGCAGAAAGTTCTGGTTGTTCGTCCTCTTCTGGACTTGAGTGGACTTCAGAACTTGAGTTTTGCGTGCACATCCATTTTACAGATCTGGCTGATTTGTGTGCAAACTGTTAGTTCCTTGCCTCTTAGGCAGATGCACTCAAACTTCGAAGAAAACACCTAATTAGTTGACTCTGGATGAACCACTAGAACCTTCCACCAGAGTTTACAGCTGTGAACACGAAGAAGAAGAAGAAGAATACTGCACATCATTCATTCATTCAGTAGCATGTCCCTCGCGGAACCTTGCTGCCATAACAACCCTCCGGAAAACCTTCCTATCCTGAGCAAGATTTCCTGCGTCTGATACACCCATCTGGAGATCATCTGCCACATCCTGCACCCATCTTCTCCTTGGCCTTCCTCTTCCTCTCTTCCCAGGCTACTGCACATCAGGAGAAATGATAGCTTATACTGCCAGTTAGTACTGTGATACTGTCTTCAGGCTGTCAATAACTGTCCTAAACACCTATACTACTTTAATTTTAAAAAAAACACATTAAAAAAAGCATAGCTACTGAAAGAAACATTATTTTATCTCAGTTTGACATTCACAATCTTTGTAATGTAATGAATGAAACTGTTCAAATTGCATACAAAAATACCCTAGGGCTCAACCAATCAGTTGACAGTTTTTTTTTGTTGCATCTGGGTCCTCAAAAGTTTTTAGGCGTACAGGCTTTCTCATCTGCTATTAAAAACGTGCTATCGGATAACTATGCTTTTTTTCTTTAAACAGTGTAGTATTCTACAATGCTGCACAATTACATTCTTTATAAATTAGGACAATTACAGCATGAAACACTATACAAATTCACATTTTTGTCTAATTACTGATTACTGATTTAAGAATTGACATCATAGCCCACCGGGCATACTGTTCCTGTAGCACACTGATTAAACACACGCCGATCTCTTCCTCTCATCCGTCCCTCCTTGCCGGATCCATACTTAATTCTTCGTTCACACATTCTTGCCCAAGTTATTTCATCTAATCTCGTGTCTTCTGCCAAAAGCCGTTCATATATGGTCTTTAGAATATCTCCCTTGTCCAATACAAGTGTTCCCATAGCTTTCTCTTTTGTAACCAAAAAATCCGCACTTTAATTCTCTAGCACTCCTGCATATCCCGGACAGCATATCCATGTGATTCCCTTCAATGTTGGCGTACTGATGCATAGTCTCCACTCATGCCACATTAGTCCATTTCAAACCTTTAATGCCAACTGAGAATCAGACACAATAATTCCTCTGGTAACTTTATTTTCTCATATCCACTTTAGAGCTGCAGTGATTGCTTCCACTTCCATTCTCATGTGTAAAGTTGTAGATTAAAAAGCTTTGTTTTGTTCTGCCACAACTTTTCCCTTGATTCTAGCTGAAAATCCCCAGCCAGATCCTACACCCTGATGAACAGAACCATCGGTGTACACTACTGCATCATTTGGTCCAGCCTTTCCACCTATCAGTTGATGTACCTCTAATTCTGCCAAACGGTTACACCACTCTCTATATTCTCTTCCTAACATGATAATGACCTGATGGAAATTGCAGTTGTGAGTGTTCGTGTGCACTTTTGTCATCTGTGGGAGTCTATAGGACTTTTGTTCCCAAGGGACAATGATGGATATTCTGTGTGGTTTTTGTTGGCACAGGAGCAGAGCAAATATGGGGTGACCTGTCTGATATGGAGTTGGAATTGATTACCTGATTACTTATAGGACTCCTAAACTAAATGTGGCAGTTGGAAAATAAACTCATGACCTTGGGAGCACAAGGTCGATATCTTTACCATCTAGCTACGGAGACCAGACCCCCGGACCTTGGTGTGAATTTTTTATCATGGCGTGGCAAGGTGACTATGTCTGCTTCTTCTGCATTAACTCTTTAAAGGACGGTCGGCATGTTGTGTTGTGATGTAAAGCTAGGCTGCGATTCTACACGATTCGTTCCTACAAATCAGATTATTTTTGTCTTCTTACAGTGGATGCTGCTTCATACTGATAGTCCTGTCTATCCAAGACCTTCTGTCTCATGTACTTTCAATCACTTCTGACAGAGTTCCGTGCTGTGATGTCAAAGTGTCCAGCTTCTTCTGTCTGTGTCTCCCTCTGCCTGGAAACTCCAACTTTTAACTTTCCCACCATCAGATTTCAGCAATTCATAATTAGTCAACTTCTGCATCATCTTTCTTAAGGAACAATTGGTCTTGTTCTTTTTTCCAAACTTCACGGGTCCCTGGAAGCTAAATGGGAAAGCAAGGTACTTAGTCTTTCCTCTTGAGCCTGGGGCGGCACATAGCACATAGCTCTTCATGTCTGGCGGTTTGTTGCCACCTGTTTTAGGTCTTGGCTGTTCATTAGGCCTATGGCTGAGCTTTTCCTAATGATGGTTCTATGCAAAGTCTCTCTTGGGTTCCCCGTTTTGTTTTCCCTTCCGGTGTCCATATGAGGCCTTGATGGGGGAGTCTTGTCTTATCCATTCCGAGTGCATGGCCAATATAGTTAGGCAAGGTATTGAACCTTCTTTATTGGTTTTTTTTTTCCACAGAAGTGATCAAGTCCATCTTGTTGACATCCCTCCATTATACAGAGTCCTTTATGAACTCCATCACTAGAGAGTTGCATGCCAAAGGTTGGGTCACTGAGGTGGCCTTGCTGGGAGCAGATGAGTGGAGAGCCCTGTGGGACTTTGATGAGCTGCAAAATAAAAAATCTAATTGAAAACCCCCAGGTAAATGAAGCATGTGGTGACATTGCTGAAGCCATCAATATTGTCAGTTATTAAGTTTATTGGGACTGTATTCCACTCCTAGCAAAGAAACGAAATGGATGTTAGCAGATAGACTCGTTGACAGAAAGTGTAAAAGCTATTGTTGCACTAAATTTGATTCCCTGTCTGAACAGTGTTATGTGCCTATCTGGCTGAGTCAAAAAGTAAAGGACCCTTTTCCCGGCCTTCAGGGTTCGAGTTATGGTTTATGGATTAATCAGCACTTGTTAAGTGATGTGGTCAGCATCATGCTGGCCATTTTTACTTCCTAGGACTTTACCTGGTAGACCTGTTGGTTGACCAACACTTTCTCCTACAACTTTGTTGTGTGTACCAACACTTTCTCCTACAACTTTGTTGTGTGTACCAACACTTTCTCCTACAACTTTGTTGTGTGTACCAACACTTTTTCCTACAACTTTGTTGTGTGTACCAACACTTTCTCCTACAACTTTGTTGTGTGTACCAACACTTTCTCCTACAACTTTGTTGTGTGTACCAACACTTTCTCCTACAACTTTGTTGTGTGTACCAACACTTTCTCCTACAACTTTGTTGTGTGTACCAACACTTTCTCCTACAACTTTGTTGTGTGTACCAACACTTTATCCTACAACTTTGTTGTGTGTACCAACACTTTCTCCTACAACTTTGTTGTGTGTACCAACACTTTCTCCTACAACTTTGAAGTAGATACTTTGTTGTGTGTACCAACACTTTCTCCTACAACTTTGAAGTAGATACTTTGTTGTGTGTACCAACACTTTCTCCTACAACTTTGACATATTTTTGTTGTCCATGTTCTCTAGAGGTTCCAATTAAAAAAAAAAAAAAAAAATAGATTGTATGAATCTTGTTTGTTTCTAGAACCACCAGCCAAGGACTTTTAGAGGCAAACTAACAAGAATATCTTCTTACTCACTGAAAAACAAGAACATCATTGCTTGAATCACTTTATGAGATAAAAGGAACAAAATATGTTGTGACAGCTGGCAGGTTTAAGGGTGTTTGAGACAGAAAGCGTAATACAGTCTAACAGATAAAAAAAAAAGGAAAGATCCCTTTTCATGCTTTTAAGCGTATCGGGTATATGGGAAGAGCGCCCATATTTTTACAGACGATCAGCACTAGGTGGGTAATGTGTTCAGCATTACACCAGCCGTCTTTACTCCCCCAGGACAGCCATCCTGGTACCCATTTTAGGCTGGGTTGACCTGCGACGCCCCATACCTCGGTAAAAATCCATGCAGCCAGCAGTGAGTTTCGAACGTGGTACGTTGGAATTACAAGTCGGACTCGCAACGCCTAAGCCACGGACATCGCTAGTCTGACAGATATGTTTTAGAAATCATCTGACTTCACACAGGATGTAGCAGTCTATTATACCACTTGTTTTACAAGCTGAAAATGTGAGATTTTTTGTGGAATTGGTAAAATGATGGCTAAATGTTTCATGGCACTGTGTCCAGCATGTGTATAAGAGAAAATGTGAGTAATAAAGTTAGAATGATGAGTAAGGTTGCAGAAAGTTAGAGTTATAAGTTGGACTGATAAATTTGAGCAATAATTTGGAGTTAAACATTGAGTGAAGAGTGTGAGTAATAAGTTGGATTGATCAGCTGGAGTGATAAGTTAGAATGATAAGTTGATATGTTTGAGTGATAAGTTGTAGTGATAAGTTTGAGTGATAAGTTGTAGTGATAAGCTAGATTGATATTTGGAATGATAAGTTAGAATAATAAGCTGGAGTAATAAGTTGGATTAATCAGTTTGAGTGATAATTTAGAATGAAATGTTATGTTGGAGTGATAAGTTTGCGTGATAAGCTAGACTGATATTTGGAATGATAAGTTTGAGTGATAAGTTTGAGTGATAAATTGGAGTGATAAGATGAAGTGAATAATGGGAGTAATACGTTAGACTGGTGAATTATAACGACTTAGAGTGATAAGTTACATTGATAATTTTGAGGTTGTGACAATAAAATAATTTCTGTGATATGATATCATTTGTTGAAGAAAATGTTCAGAAAATGCTCTTCCAGTAATCTGTATCATTGCCAGTTGGTAAGGTTTCATATATCATGATTAACTTTTGCAGCACCGGAAGGTTTCACCAGATATGTCAAAGGGAAGAAACAACCAAGATGAAAGTGTTGAATGAATTACTTTTGAATCAATATGCCAAAGATGCATGTGTGTTTTGGCAGCTGCCGTGGTGTAGTGTCCAGATGCTTGCCTGCAGATCTGAAACTACGAGTCCGATAGGAAGCAGACTTTTTTTCTTCTTTCAAAAATGACCTTGGCTCTCAGGTTTTCCCAGCTTTGAGTGGGGACCAGGTTAAAGTCTTGAGAAGTAAAGATGGCTGGCGGAATATTGACCATATCACCCACCAAGTGCCGATTGGTCTATAAAATATAGGTCCAGCAATATGTGCCCAATACACCTGAAGGTGAGGAAATGGGTCCTTTGCTTTACTTTTACTTACTGTTGTTGCAATATATGGATATATATATATAAAGGGTTATGTCCATGTACTGCTCATAATACTTACATATGTGAGTTCCTACTTCCAGAAGAGAAGAATGAGATTTCTTTTTTCTGCACAGCTGCAATTTTCACCTGATTTTTACAGAGATATCTCATTGTTGAAACCCTGTTTTCTGAAACAAAGTATTAGCACTTATGTGACTTCGGCATAGGGCCAACGATATACTTTTCCATTTGCAGTGTGAGTTATTTCCATCTAAGAGGCAGAATGTTACAAGAACTTCTGTTAAACAGATGTCACAGAAAGAAAGCTTTCAAAAAGTGATCTGACTACATTTGGAAGACTGCACCGCAAAACTGAGATTAGCCTGAAAAAAAAAAAGAAATAAAGTTAGAGCCTTAACTCTTTGAGTCCCAAGGAGCGCATCACACGTTCATAGGTTCCTACCTAGAAGCCCAGTAAACGCAAGATGTGCCGATTTTACGTCTCTCTTTGTTACCCCTTGGGCCTGGGATGCTAAACCCTCTGGGACTCAAAGTTAAAAGGGATGAACAGTTTCCAAATTGAAATTTTATTCTGCTTTGTTTTTGTGCCAGTGTCTTTCCTAATGACCAAGCAATATGAAGACTTATCTAAAGGTCTTGTTTTCATCCAGATATGAAGTGTTACTTATTTACTCATAGGACTAAATATTTTCTGTGTACTTTTAGAAAACAAATGCATAAAAAATCTGGCTGAGTGTACTGCTAAGTTTTCATTACAGATTTGTAATAACTTTTCTTGTCCAGATTTTTTAAAATTCTCTATTTACTAAATGATTTCATTGGTTGAAACTTAGGACAGTAGTTGTTATAAATTGCTTTAAGCAACAGCAGTTAATGAAAAGAAAATATTAAATCAAATATATATATATATTTGTGTGTGTGTGTAAGATAGGGCTCTAAGAGTTGCTGTTGAATTAATGACATTATACAAGATCTCTTTAAAAAGTATCCGACCTGTGTCCCAGACAAATGCATTCACTCATCTGGAGATCTGAACCCTTATTCCCTTTCAGAGTACTCTTCTTTGGCATGCACACAGTTCTCCCAGCAACCTCTCCTTTGTTGGAAGCATTTCAAGAAGGCTACTTTGGTAATGGAGTGCAACTTGGCTTTCATATTTTTTTTAAGAATATCCAGAACCATGAGTTGTTAACTCTTTGGCTCGGTACTATGGATATCACAACCCTGCAGCCTTGGTTCCTTGATAGATACCGTAAATCTGGGAGAAGAAATGTGGCTCTTCTGCCAACTCCCGGCGTGAACCCGGACCACAAGGAGTTCATCACCCGGTCGCTGTAAAGTCAGGTTTAACCAACTGAGCTAGCGAGCCGGGCTCCATCATATTTATAGTTAGAGATAAAAATCACAATTAACCATGTTAGGAGACGACTTGCCTTGCAAACAAAAATTTCATGTTCAATCAGCATTACCCCCACCCTGGGGAAGGGGGGGCAGGGGCCTTATTGTTATAATTGTGACTGGGTTTATGTGCGCCATATAAAATGGCTTAGCATGGCTTAACACCAAGTAGCCCAGAAAAGGATTCCTGCAGCGTTGATGTGATCAAGACAGACAGACCCAAATAATGTTCTGACCGACAACAAAGTCATTTACCAGCCAGCCAATGGGCGACCCGGTCGCTAATGTATGGTGAGAGTATGGAACTTGGTGGACCAAATGTTTTTTTGTCTGACCAAGAAAATTTGGTGACAGGGGCTTAACAAAACTACCATGGTAATGCAACCATCCAAGCTTCACATCTGATTCAGATTATCTTGGCTAAACACAAAATTATTTTGGTTTATTATGTTTCATACTTCCTCATCATGGCTTTAAAAAAAAAATGTGTTGTTGCTGTTGTTGTTGTTATTGTTTCTTCTTCTTCTTGTTCTCAGTGTTCTTGTTGTTGTTTCTCTTATGTCCTTTATCTGCCAATAGAGCATAGTGCCTTAACTAACCCATGTCAAGTCTTTTCCTCCTGTGCCGCTCACACCATGTCCTTCCTCTCTGTTCAACTTCACTCTCTTGTTCCCTTCTTCACGTGTTTTTGGCCTGCCTTTTATTTCTCGGCCTCTGTAGGTTCCAATGTAAAGACATTCTGGTTGTGTTGTTCTCAGCATGTCTCCTATCCAACACCAACTTCTTTTCTTCGCTTCTTTATTCACCAGAAATTGTTTAATTCTCTCCCAAAGCTACACATTTGTGATTTTTGGTTATTTCTCAAGCTGAAAATATTGCATGTCTCTGAAAGAGGCCTGATTTGTGTTACAAGACAATACACGGACACAATGACTATGCAGTACAAAAATCTTAAAGAAGCCTCCTGAAAGGCTTCCAACAATGGCAGCATTGACAAGGAGACCTCTCAGAAAGGAGATTAGGGACTTCCAGATGTTAGCTGTGTTTATCCTGACTG